TGTGCGTGTGTGTCTGTGTGTGTCTCTGTGTGTGTGTGTGTGTCTGTGTGTGTCTCTGTGTGTGTGTGTCTCTGTGTGTGTCTCTGTGTGTGTGTCTCTGTGTGTGTCCTCTGTGTGTGTCTCTGTGGTGTCTCTGTGTGTGTGTGTGTGTGTCTCTGTGTGTGTGTGTGTCTGTGTGTGTGTGTGTGTGCGTGTGTGCGTGCGATGAGGCATTGTTCTTGTGATCACTTAAATACTTAACTGTAGTTCGAACATGCATGTTGGTTCAACCCGAATGAAAGCCAGCAAGAGAACTGTTTTGAGTAAACGAATCTAGCGCTGTATCGAAATGGGGAAATGCTTGTGAACATTTTCAGCGTCATTAAACAGTCCTCAAGTTTAGCAAGCTCGAAAATCAGGCGACCAAGGAAAACGAGGCGAACCCTCTGTCTTACGGACATCTGCAAGTAGAGTCTCGCACCGACTGGATCCAGCGTCTCAATCGCAGAAGGAGCCAATATGAGCATGTTTCAAGCATAATGTATCCTGGGGGTAGTTCTGGCTTTGGAAAGTGAGGGGCTAGAAGAGGCTCCGGAGCCCAAGCCGGAACGGAACGGGTAGGGGAGGAGCCAGAAGGGAGAGGCACCGGAACGGGACCCCCCGCCGGAACGGTTTTTTGGGGAAACAGTTGCCTGAATCTAGCAGGTGTTCTTCGTCGCAAGTCGCAAGCGTGCATCAACCGGGAAAGCTCCGAAAATATGCCATGGTCCGACGCAAGGCCACGCAAAGGCAAGAAGCATGCAAACCAAATCGGAAACTGGAATGACGTTCACACGTAAACTTCCCAGAAGGCTCTCCTGGAAGGGCTTTTTTAGTAAATGGTGGAAATATTCTCACTCTCATGAACCCACACCTTCTTTTCAAAGCCCCTAGAGCCGAAAAAGCAGACTGGCAAAATACGAGCCACATTCCAACTCCACCAGCAAGGACTGCGTTCCCATCCCCGGAGCGCCCGTTGCCCAGTATCAGGGTTTAGGGTTTAGGGTTTAGGGTTTTAGGTTTTAGGGTTTTGCAATTTACCTGAGCGAAAGCATCCTAAATTCACAGGCTTATGTCTCCAAGACCTCGGAACCCTGAAGCCCCCTAAGTCCCCGGCTGAAACTACCTCTCTCTCTCTCTCTCTCCTTCCCTTGTTCTTTTGCTCTCCTTCTCTCTTTCTCCGTTTTCTCTCCTTCTCTCTTGTTTTTTTCTCTGTCTCTCTCTGCTCCCCCCTCTCTCTTGGTCATGCTGAGGTACACCCCGATCATCAAGCTGAAGCTGTGGAAAGTTGGGGGCTGCAGTCGCTGGTAAAGGTAGGAATTCAGCGTCAGTTCCTGGGTCTTAAGAGGAGCTATACAGGATACCAAGTTCCCTGATGTATATAGGTGTACTTTAAGGGCCTACATAAATGGAACAGGGTTTTGGGTGTTATTGTCTTTTTCTTATATAGGGACCATAAGGGAATAGTCTTGCACTTTCATGCCCCAAACTCTAAACCCTAAACCCTAAACCCTAAACCCCAAACCCTAGACCGTGTTGAAATGTTTGCACACGCCCGTCCTAGGTCAGCATCGATCTGCTGTTCGCTCGTTTGGTGAGGCAGGCCTGCCCCCTAAACCCTAAACCCTAAGCCCCAAACCCTAAACCCTAAACGCTAAGCCCCAAACCCTAAACCCTAAACCCTAAACCCTAAACCCCAAACCCCAAACCCTAAACCCTAAACCCACTTTAGGATCTGCAGCATCGGGCTACATGCGGGCGAATGCGTTTTGGTTGGTGGCGGTGGGCATCTGCGCCTGCACGAGGTCGCTGGATGACGGCAAGGATGTTGAAGAAGCGGTGAAGGCTTGCGCACCCTAAACCCTAAACCCTAAACCCTAAACCCTAAACCCTAAACCCTAAACCCTAAACCCTAAACCCCAAGCCCTAAACCCTAAACCCTAAGCCCTAAACCCTAAACCCTAAACCCTAAACCCTAAACCCACTCTGCGGACTTGAGACATATGAGCCCCCGCTGCAGGATGACGAGGTGCTGCGGGATATGGACGACAAAAGTGCCCCGAGCCTCAGTGCTGCGCGGCCTCCGGCTGTCGAGATGAAAGGGCACGACTCAGACCGGTTGATTTAGCTACTATTTGTTCAAGACCCCCCCCCCAAAAAAAAAAAAAAAGGAAATTATAAAAAGCAATTATAAAATACAAAAGGAATTCTTCCTTGTATGGGCAACATGGGGATTATTACCTTTCATTTGTTCTTTTTGTTGGGGGGGGGGGTCTTGAGCAAATAGTAGTTTGGAGGCTGACACCCCGGGACCTTCCCGAGTGCACAGTCCGCGAGAGACTCCAGGTCCGGTGCATCAACGGATATCGAGTTGCCGCCTGCAGCTTAGAGGCTCAAAGCCTGGGATGTTCCCCCATATACTAAGAGTCCTTAGTAGGGATGATGATTAGGGGGGTGCTTTTTTATCCCTCTTATGGCCTGTTAGTATAAGCCCAGACCCCTGGGAGGATCCCAAAAAATAGAGCCCCAAAATTGTGCCCTCTTCTACTATTGGGTCATTCTTGGGAACCCTTAAGGGGGATCCCTTTTTTGGATCCCCCCCAGGGGTCTGGGAGGGGGAACAGCCCTGCTCGAGGCGCTTGGGCCGGAGGCTCCGGGGTTCAGGGATGTTTCAGGTTTAGATTTTTGGAGGATTTTAGGGTTTTTAGGGCTTCTAGGGCTTTTCGGGCTTTTAGGTCTTTTAGGGCTCTTTAGGGCCTAAAGGCGTTCTGGGCTTTTAGGGTTTTCGGGCAAAGTTTTCGGGCTTTCGGAAGAACACAAGCCGCCTAAGGACAAGATCCTGCAACTGGTGCCAAACCAGGAAGCCTTTCGAGAAACTCTGCGCTTCGCGCTGTGCTCAGCGTGGTCCAAATGGGCAGTGCTCTAAAATATGGTACCCTTAACCCTTAACCCTAAGCCCATCTCAACCCTAAACCCATCTAAAGCCTAAACCCATCTAAACCCTAAACCCTAAACCCCCAAGCCCTAAGTTTGAATAAGGCGCCCATATTTCGGGATAGCCCCACATCCAGAGGACGCCACAGCCAGTAGGAGTGCGAAAAAGTAAAGGGTAAGTGAAGAAACTTGAACCGACAATCTGCGAAGCCCCCAAAACTCCCCCCCCCCTCCAGGAAGCACAAAAAACCCCAACATGCCGTGTTCCCCTAAACCCCCTAAACCCCCTAAACCCTAAACCCTAAACCCTATACCCGAATACCCTAATACCCTAAACCCCAAATACCCTGAGACCCGAAACCGAGCCTAAACCCTAAACCCTAACCCTAAACCCCTAAACCCCAAACCCGAATCCATAGTCTTCCTCCTTGCTGTCGCTGTAAGGTCAAGTGCTGGGCCAAGAGGCATTGAGAGCTTCAGAGGTTTCCGAGTTTTGGGTTTGGGCTTTCGGGTTTCGGGTTTCGGGTTTCGGGTTTCGGGTTTCGGGTTTCGGGTTTCGGGTTTCGGGTTTCGGGTTTCGGGTTTCGGGTTTCGGGTTTAGGGCGCTTTAGGAGAAGTCTAGAAGGGGATGGAAGAAGAGTAACTGGCCACTTGCGCCAGATTTCGTATGCAATGCTGGCTTCATTGTTGCGGGTGGCAGGCAGCCGCCGATGCACCATCCAAAGAGGGGGGCGGGGTTTAGGGCTTAGGGTTTAGGGCTTAGGGTTTAGGGTTTAGGGTTGAGGGCTTAGAGTCCCTTTGTGGGGTGCCGGAAAAGGTAAGAAGCCGTTTCTGCCGCAAATAGGCACGAAAGTCTCAAGCTCTAAACCCCAAACCCCAAACCCCAAACCCCAAACCCCAAACCCCAAACCCCAAACCCCCAACCCCAAACCCCAAACCCCCCCAAACCCCAAACCCCAACCCCACCCCAAACCCCAAACCCCAAACCCCAAACCCCAAACCCCCAAACCCCAAACCCCAAACCCCAAACCCCAAACCCCAAACCCCAAACCCCAAACCCCAAACCCCAAACCCCAAACCCCAAACCCCAAACCCTAAACCCTAAACCCAAAACCCTAAACCCTAAACCCTAAATCCACAGCTCGGGAGCCACTGGCCCCACTTGAGAGGCGTGGAATCTACTCAAATGCCGGAAGCCTGGCTCCATGCTCCAGGATCTGCAGAGGGTTTAGGGTTTTGGGGTTGGGGTTTGGGGTTTAGGGTTTAGGGTTTAGGGTTTGGGTTTGGGGTTTGGGGTTTGGGGTTTAGGGTTTAGATCTGCAGAGATCTGAAGCTTGAGGCTTGAGTGAGCAAGTGGAGCAACTGCCTCTCGCATTGAGGTGTTGGGCTTTTTTGGTGGCATCACCTGGGCCTTGTTGGTGGCTCGCGTTTGCAAGGTGCCCAGATCCCTAAAGCAGGAGCCCCGTGTGCGAGTGAACACAGTGGGTGCCACATAGGTGTCAGCATGGCAGGCTCGGATATGCGTGCCAGCAGGAAGTGGCTCGTTTTTTTTGCCGATAAGCCTTCCGGGATTCATGCAAGCACTTGCTTTCGAGTCAGAGATGTACGAGGATGCTGTGGAAGGATCATCGCAACCTCCGTGGCAGCTTCAAGCAATGCGTGCAGGCAAGCTTAACGCGAAGACGCTTCAGGCCCGATGTACGAAGACTATGATGATGCCTTATTCGATACTCAATGAAACGGCACAACATGGGACCACCGGATTAACACGGAGCTGGAGTCGACAGTATCTGAACCAACCCAAGCCCTAAACTCTGAACCTAAATGCGCTCAAAGGTCAGCTATACCCCAACTACTGCTTCAGCCAGCTTGTCAATCGGTCGACGGCTCGGGCAACAAGAAACTGTCACGCCTGGTTCTGTCATGACACCTGTGTCTGATACTCTCATCTACTGTGTGGATTTTAAGGGTTTGGAGGTGCATGGTTTTGTTCTTTAGGGGAACGGTTCCCGCAGGCCCAATCCTAAACCCTACTAAACCCCCAAAACCCTAAACCCTAAAACCCTAAACCCTAAACCCTTTTGGTTCCTCTGTAAAACTGCATGAGCCAGTTGAGCCTAAACCCTAAGCCCTAAGCCCTCAACCCTAAACCCTAAACCCTTTGAGCTCCTACGAAGAAGGTTCTTTCGCACCTACGACCAGTGGAACTGGTCCAAACCCGTGCTGCCCGGCACTCGGGCGCAGCTTATGAATCTTTAGGGTTTAGGGGTTTAGGGTTTAGGCTTCAGGGTTTAGGGTTTAGGGTTTAGGGTTTAGGGTTTAGGGTTGTGGGGAACGTTGCGGGCCTGCCGTGGGCTGCCTATCCTCATCTCACTTGACACAACTGACTTCTCCAACAGCTGAACTTTATACATTTTGTGGGTTTCCTTATTTAGTAGTAGGAATAATAAAGTTTAGCCTTCTAAGTAAGACAAAGAGTGTGAAGCCACTGGGTCAATTCGGAAGTTCCCAGGCTCTGCGAGGTCGTGGAGAGTGTTCCCGGAATCGTTGGCCTCAAGGCCGTGCGCCAAGTCGGGCTGCGGGGTCCGGCTAGTGACTGTTTGCTGAGGTCTTGGCTTTCTATTTAACAGTATGAAGTAGAACTCAATGATAGCCTACGATGGTCAGACCGCCAGTAAGCATTACCCAGTCTCACATCGCAGAGTCACGGCGAAGTCATGCAGCTGCTATGCCCACGCCAGCCTTGGAATCCGAAGACGAGCATCGCAGACAAGCGTCCGAGCTGCAAGAGGTTGCAGGCTTCACCTGTTGCACGTCGTTCGAGATACACTCAGGCAGCACTTGATGCCTGTCATTACCCCCGCCTTCCCGGCGATGAATTCCACGCCGCGCGGCTGCAGGGCTCCAGATGTTTTAAGGTTTAGGGTTTAGGGTTTAGGGTTTAGGATCTAGGATTTAGGATCTAGGGCTCTTTGTGGTCGCCGTCCACAGCCCAGGCACAACGTGACGGACACCACCAAGCGAATTCTCCTGGACGAGTTCCGACGAGGATACGAGGCTCGCAGCCTAGCATTCGGACAGTTCACGCTTGGTCTAGCACGAAGAGCCGTCTCAGCCGACCCAATTTGAACATGTCGCCAGGTTGTGAAAAAGGTGGAGAACAACAAGGCTGATTGGAAGGACACGGGACAAGGGGTCCGAATCAGGGACCTCAGGCATGTTAAAATGCTGCCAGGAAGTTCACAACCCCTTCCCCTTCTTCAGCAATGACCCGTTCAAGTGAGCCCGGCGACTGCTTGGGGAGGGAGACTTGGGAAGTTGGAAGGTAGCCATATCGATCCCCTCTCGCAGCCAAAAAGCTGCAAGCTCCCTAAACCCTAAACCCTAAACCCTAAACCCTAAACCCTAAACCCTAAACCCTAAACCCTAAACCCTAAACCCTAAACCCTAAACCCTAAACCCTAAACCCTAAACCCTAAACCCTAAACCCTAAACCCTAAACCCTAAACCCTAAACCCTAAACCCTAAACCCTAAACCCTAAACCCTAAACCCTAAACCCTAAACCCTAAACCCTAAACCCTAAACCCTACCTTGCCAGGCACTACCTCTGCTTGGAGGTTCATGCCAAGACCGCGGAAGCGCATGTGAAGTGGCGGCCCTAGGCCCATCCGACGTGGCCGGACATTCGACTCTTCACCATTTGGCGGTGCTGCTATGACTGTTTGATATGACTGATATGACTGAGACTAAGACTAAGACTGAGACTGAGTTATGCTGAGTTGTGCCAGCAGGGTGGCTCCGGCGTCTCGTGCGGCTCAAGTATGCAGCGCATGTAAGACTTGACGAGCAGCTGTTCCACGTTGCTTGGATCCAATTGGCAGCACAATGGTCTGCATTCGAGTGGTTCGCTTAAGTGGGGAAGTCATGGAGATCCCCGTGGCCCTGCCACGAGACGAACACGTATGCGCGGGATACGTGAAGATGCACCTCGCAAAAGCTTCCCCGCGCCCACCCACAGCCTGTGTGGTCCGGCTGATCGGCACCGATGCGAAGGAGATCGGAAACACTGAGCAACTCACTTGGGAATGCCTGGAACAGGGAGTGCTTCAGCATGCGCTAGTGGACGTGATGTCCCTGGCCCCGCGTTTGCTGAATGTGGATCCATTCCATCTCATCTTTCCTGCAGATCCGAAGAAGCTGATGGACCCATGGCTTGTCATCGACCTCGCCCTCGACATTTTCGAGAAACGGGGTCGTGATGTGGATGTTTGCCAGCGGTTCTTCTCTGCTTGGACAGAAGCAGTCCTGGGTACATCGAAAGAGGAAGCAAATCAGGTTGAGCCGGACGGATGCACATGGCTCACCAGAATGCTCGCCCTTTGGGATGAACTTCGGCGCCGAATTGTGCAAAGTCAGCCTTGGGATGGGCCGCCAAATCCATTCGGTGCATGTGCCCTTCCTGCAGTCCACATGACGACCATTCGCTTTGTGAAGGACAAGATGCAGGTTCAGACTCTCGAGCAGACTTTCCAGACGGTCGGGGGCGTGCTCGTGGAGGCAACGTCCCGGGATCCCAATGCACTGAACTTGGAGCCATTCCATGTCGTCTTTCCGGCAGATCCGAAGAAGCTGATGGACCCAGCTCTCGTCATCAACCTTGCCCACGGCATTTTCAAGACAAGGGGTCGTGATGTTATTGCTTGCCAGCAGTTCTTCTCCGCCTGGACAAAAGCAGTCATGGGCACATCGAAAGCGGGAGCAAATCAGGTTGAGTCAGATGGGCGCACGTTGCTCACCAGAATGCTCGTGCTTCTGAAAATTGTTCATGAAGCAGACGAGCCTTCCGATCACCCAAGGCCGTCAGAGTTCGGAGATGACTTTCTCATGCCGGCCCAACATGCCATTGTGATGACGATGATTTGGCTTGTAAGAAAGAAGCTCCACATTCAGACGGTAGAGAAGACCTTCCACGTCTCCCCCTACGATGGGATGATGAAACTCCTCTGGACCTTCGTGCAGGACAAACTCTCATTACCACGAGGCACCAAGACCTCAAACCCCCCAAAGTGAGCTCGAGAAAATCTAGATCCGAACCGCACAACCCTGAACCCTAAACTGTAAACCCCACCGTAATCTCGCTGTGACTGTCCCCAGGGGCTGGGCATCACGCTGGTCTCGTCGAGGGGTATGGGGCAGACCTGATGCTTGCATTGATCCAGAGAGGCCTTCCCAGGAGGTACTGGGCAGGTTGCTTTGGCTTCTCTTGGTGTTCCGTTTTGCTTTTTGGATTTAGGGTGTAGGGCTAGGCGGTATCATGCTGTATCGTTCCTATGTCATGGTTTCCTCATGTCTTGCAGGCTGCTTCGGCCCTTTCGACGACAACCTCCTGCAGTACATCCTCGAATCAACATGCAAACCAGACCCGTATGAACATACTGAGGCCGAAGGAAGACTGAGCGTTGCTCTTGCTAAGAAGTACACTTTGGAAGAGTTGTGCCACCAGAGCTCCGACGGTTACAATGCACTCTTCTACGCTGAGCGAGTTGCTCGTGAAATTGAAGACAGATGGCCAGTGAATGCTCCACACGGTCTCAGGATTTGGGTCCAACTTCGTGACGTTATTAGGGAGCAGCTGCAAGTGCGTGCGGGGGAGTTTCAGGGCACATTGTGTGAGTTGGCTGCGCTGGCGGGATCGGTGAGGATGGCCTTGGGCGGCCAGTCCCTTCCGGCGTTTGATGAACAGCTTTGGGCCCGGGCTTCAGTGATTCGTGAGCAGTGGTTGAGCATGGGATGGCACTTTGCCAGAAATGACAGGCACGGACAAACCTCGGAGGTCGTAAGTTGGCATCTCCAAGCAGCTCGCCAGGGCCAGGGGGGCAAGGATGCATCTCACGAGCCACCCGCCATCGCAAAGACTTCTGTGAGGCGTGCCTTGTAATTTATTGTTTATGGAGTTGAATTCACCACCTCCCCATACCTCCCTTCGGGATGCGAAACGCATCTTGCGCAAGCCATGTACAGTTTGGCGTGGGGAGTCGTCGAAGCTTCTTGGGCCTGTCAGGCCGAACCCCAACACGACCCTGCAGCCGAGTCATGAGATGGTTAAGGTTCTGAGCCCTCGGTCCTAAGCCGCGAAGCCGCCAAGCCGTACCTGTCCTGAACATCCCTAAACGTGCTCTCATTCCTCAAGACGGGGACCGAGGGTTCAGTGGTTTAGGGCGTGTAGGATTTGGGGTCTATCAGTTAAGGGTTGCAGGGCAGTGTTTTCGTGAAACTAATTAACTGAAATAGTTCAACGTCGAAGTTCTCTTCGAGATAAGAGCGGAGGTTCCATTTCCAGCTCTGTCGATAGCAGAGGGGCCTCCTACTGATGCATAATTGACCAACCCGGATCCCGCGACAGCGTGCAGAGTGAAAACGTGCCTGGCGATTCTGGAGCTGAGCCGGTGCCGCAAGAGTCATGACTGGTTTACACGATGCCGCAGAATAGAAACCTGTGACAAGGTTCTGCGGCTGGGTTGAGAGCAAGCTTCGCATTCTCCACAAGACCCTCGAGGCCTCAACAGAGTGGTCAAGCCCATGTGGGCCCCCACATGTGTCCCCCGTCTTGACCTCACAGGGAGCCGTTTCTGGAATGATGATCCACCCCAATCCGGAGCAGTACGAGCTGAGGCCGGGGCCTAGGCTGTTTGCTGCGACTCGAAGGTTCGTGGGTAGCCTTAAGTAGGATGCCCTGTACCAAAGTTGGGCCAGAAAAACAGTTGCCCCACTTTTGACCCTAAACCTACTTCTGACTCGTGCTGGTTTGAGCGCAGTCTTCTGAGCCCATCCCAGTTTCAATTTAGGCCCTCAGTTCCTTGGGACTGCATGGAGGTTTCCGAGAATTAGGGGTGCATAGTTTGGGTTTTCTCAAAATAACCTTTTGGGCATGGACCACAGGTTTCCTTTCAGGGTGTGTTTAGCCCCCGAGGTTGGGAGGAGTACCATGCTGGGGATAGACTACTCTATAGAGCAGAAAGCACGGCTGCATCTTTGATTTTCACCTCCAAGCTGCAGGAACACGGACGCCGAGTGGGAGTGGGGCTGCCGGGACCTGAGATGCGCTCCGTAGTCCCATTTGTGCCGAAGTCTTGTCCGAAACATACCCTAAACCCTAAACCCTAAACCCTAAACCCTAAACCCCAAACCCTAAACCCTCAAACCCCCACGAGCCGAGACCCGTTGGGCACCCGAAAGCTCCAACCGTAGGCGGTTGCCGTTGGGATCTTTGATATCTTTCCTCAGGCTATCTTAGCCATCTTAGCTCGAAGTCTGTTTGCAGAGGGTTGACAGGGCCAACGGGTAAGACCCCCAAGAGCGGAGACCCCCTAAACAGTGAGCCCAGGTGGCATGTTCATCGAACTTGCGTTCCTCCAAGATCAGGGCTCCTACGTGGGCCAGACGGTGGATTTGAGGCCGGGGCTGATTGGTTGTGGGCAGGGGCTGATTTAGGGGGTTGTTCGTTATATTGCCTTGGTGGTCTCTTTAAGCAGGTTTTTTTTTGGTATGGGGTTCTGATTAGGGTGTCTAGGGGCTATGTTAAGTTAAGGTATAGGAGCAACAGACAAAGAGGCCACCGGCTTCTATAAGTTGTTCAGGTTTAGAGTTCGGCGCCCAAAACCTTCCATGAAAGAATTAGATAGAGGGTTCGCCTTTGATTGGCCCGCGTCAGCTAAAGTCCGAGGCGCGCCAGTGCGCGATAGTTTCTGCGAGAGAGCTCTGGTTGCGAGAGCGCGCGATAGCGCGTGAGAGGGTAGGTGTTGCTTATTAAACATGGCTGGGTTCAGGCTATTTTGAAGGTTTGGGGTCTTGTGTTGGAAGTGTTTAGCTTCTTCCCGCGATAGTCCGCGTCAGTGCAACCCCCAAAAAAACACGTCCGCGTCAGCGCGCGAAGAGGTCTGCATAAGGCCGCGCGAGAGCCCGCGAGAGCACTTCCATAGTCGAATGAAAAGTTCAAAGGGTTTTGGCCACTGCCCAGTTGACAAAGACACTTCAACCTTAAAACCCTACGTCCTCAACCCGAAGCTTCAAACCCTGAACCGCTCCATAGCCTTGCAAGGGTTTCGGGTTTAGGGCTTGGGCGCCTAGGCCCGTGAGTCTTCCCAAATGAGCCCCTAAGAACTTAAAGTGCTAAACACTAAACCCCAAACCCCAAACCCTAAACCCTAAACCCGAAACCCTAAACCCCAAACTCCCCAAACCCCTAAGCCCGCCAGGCCCTCCTTGCACCAGTTCGCCGAAGTGGTCGCCACCTGGGCGGAGAAGGTCTCCGAGATGCGTGCCGACTATAGAGCTTTACACCCGGTTCGGGATTCTGGGGGTTGGAGACTGAGGTTAGGGTTTAGGGTTTAGGGTTTAGGGTTTAGGGTTTAGGGTTTGGGGTTTGGGGTTTAGGGTTTAGGGTTTAGGGTTTGGGGTTTGGGGTTTAGGGTTTAGGGTTTAGGGTTTAGTTCTCGAAACGATGACAGATCGTGGCAGGAGACCTACAACTCCGAGTTTAAGCTCAAGCTCAAGGCTGTGAAGAGGACGAAGAAGAGAGTCGGCGTGAGTCGGCAGCGGGGGGGGGGGGGCTTGCTCTCGATTCGACTCCCTTCTCTTGGCGTCCTTCTCAGAAAGAGTTCGAAAGCAAAACGTGGCAGCTCGGAGGGGGTATCATAGAGACCAAAGACAAGAGACTCAACTTCCTGGCAGGTGTGCTCAGAGCGTGGGGTTTGGGCTTTGGGGTCGTGAGCTGTGACGCTTCGCTGCACGTTGAGATGTGGGGAAGGACGCGTCTTCCGGAGTACGCGCTGAAGGCGCGGAGTGCCAAGCGCCGAGCCAGACCCCCCTCGTGGCACTTTTGTCACAGGGGGGTTTGGGTGGGGGTGCACTCAACTCCCTGGTGCCCTGAAACCTAAACCGTGTAAACCGCGCTCCCTCCCTCTCTCTCTCTCTCTTTTTCTGTCTCGCTCTCTCTCTCTCTCTCTCTCTGCGTCTCGGTCCCCTTCTCCTGATCTCCGTTTCTATCTCCGCCTCTGTCGACTGGGCTCGATCGTGTTTGATCAATGAAGCCAAAGCTCTCGCAGGCAGAGGCGGCCAAGAGGACTCGTCAATTCAAAGGGTGAGCGACACCCGATCTCCTTCGGCTGATGAGCTCGGCTGTTGAGGAAGGTCTGCATCTAAAGAGTCCTCAACAACCCAGAAATGCTTCGCGTTGAAGGTCCCGAAACCTTAAACCCCAACATGACACTCTCGTAGGTTCTCAGAATTGCAAGCCGCCTGGCACAAGAGCTGCAGGGCCCCTCCCCCCCCCCCTGTTGCACAGTCTCCGGCCAGAAAAAGTCACCTCATCAAGCGCGAGCCTCTTCGTTCAGAATTCAGGGCCCCCCAGGGCAGTTTATGTCACAAAGTCGCTGCACTCAAAGTCTTCGCCCCACAGGGAGGTCCCGCAACTCCACAACTTCCTCACTCAGCGAGCTTGGACCAGTCTTTTCACCACATCGAAGCACCACAAGCGCAGACATCATTCATTCCGCACAAATCCCTTTGCCCCTCCAAGTCCCCAGCTCACAAAAAGTGGCAGCAGACGAGCGTAGTCAATCTACATCCCGAAGCCTAACCCTGAACCCCAATTCCTGCCAAACATGGAGACCGTTCAAGCTTTTCAAAGCTTGCCTGAAGCCCGAAACAAGCCAACTCCCTCCGGGCCCCATGTCACTCCTCGCCTGGCTGTGGCCGTTACTGCGGCGCGCTGCCGCACGCCTTGGCCTTGGCCGCGAGCCGGAGCGGCGCGGCACTGAAACGAGCTGTTTAGAAACTTCAGATTGACTTGGCGGTTCAGTTAAGGGATTTTGGGGAATCCTGATGTTTTTTGCTCTTATCCGCCGGCTGCTTTTCAAGATGTTTCGTCAAGTGCTGTCCATGCTCTTCTCGTGCGCTGTCATTTTTGCACTGCTGTTGACCGCTCCCCAGAACCAGAAGGCTCCAGTGAAAGGGCGGGGGGGTACAGTAGGGCGCAGGCCGTAGCATGTTGCATGATGGCGTGCACAATCTCAAGGATGTGATGTTCTTGTTTATGCCGTCTAGAAGGCGTCTCCATCTTGTCTGTCTGCAGGGTGCAAGTGCCGCTCCTCCGGCCAGAAATTGCCGCGGGCGACCAGAGGCGAATATTTGGGGTTGTGGGCAGGGTGTTGTGAGACCATCGGGTGAATGCCGCTATACCTTAGACGCACATCTTGCCGAACACCAGGCTCTAACTTCACCGTCGCTCAACGCGGCTTAAGGGCACCTTGACACCACTTGTTCACGGTACTTAATTGTAAACGCTTGCGCGCGCCGCCTCGGCAGCCGGGCCGGCCCCGGGACAGGAAAGGAGGAAAGAGGGTTTCGCAAAAAAAGGGAGGAAGGGCAGAGCGTGGGGGGGGGGGGGGGGGTCGGGGGGGGGGGGGGGTCCGGGGGGGGGGGGGGGTCGGGGGGGGTGGGGGGGGGGTTTGAGGCACTAAGCGGGGACCCTCCACAGCATCGGTTTGCAGCTCTCCAAGGGATTGGGGGGGGTCCCACAGGGCGGGGGGGGGGGGGGGGGGGGGTGGCGTCAGAAAAATTTGGCAATGGGGGAAGGGTTGGGTTAGGGGGAAGGAGGCCCGATCCGGGTCTGCTTGTTCCAGACGCTTCTCGGCAGGAAGCCGAGGCGAATAACCAATCATAACGGCACTTATAACCCACTTATAAACCCCTTCCCTAATATGGTTATAAGTACAGTTATAAGTACAGTTATAAGTACAGCTATAAGTACAGTTATGATTGGTTAATAAGTACCATGAACCTCCAAGCACCGACATGACAGATGCAAGGCCTGTTGCCAGAGAGGCAGCTGGGGCAAACCAGGCCTCGGCCGCGCCGATGCGCAGTGATGGGTGGGGCCCCGAGCTCACGCCCGGGACCGCCTCCCCGAAGTCCTCAAGGGGGGGGGAGGGGGGGGGAGGGGGGGGGGGGGGGGGGTTCGAAGTTACTACTATTCCTACTATTGCTGCAATTACTACTAGTACTACTATTACTCTTATTACTAAGATAGGTTGCGGTTCTAGGTACGCAAACCGAGGCCTCCACTGTTGGACGAGGCTTGGTTGAAGGCCGGGCCTTGGGGTTCTAGATGACGGCCTAGGGCTTTGTAGCTATTGCATCTTATGGACAGGTATAGCTCCTTAGCAGCTCGCGACCGTTCTTGTTTACCATGTCTCGTCTTGCGTCAACAAGAATCATCTCAGGCTTGAAAGGTTTGATGAGCAAAGGAGGGGGTGGGGGAGGCCATCCCTCCCGCCACCACCACCCCCACATCCCCCAATTCTTCACGTTCTCAATTCAACGGCCCCCCTCCCCCACCAATTTGGCTCCGGGCACTTCGTCTGGCCATCAAATGTTGGTTGCATGGGCATTTGCGAACGTTGCCTGGCCCTTCGACTTCCTTTGCTGAAGCTAGTTGCTTAGCTTCGTCGCCCCGATCTTAAATTCCGTTCTCCGAGGTGTACAAAACATTTGAGGTCTTAGGGCTCAGGGTATTTTGCAAGAAGCGGAGCGTTTAACCCAACATGCGAGTACTTCGCGCGGACCCGGTGGGGACGATGATGTGTGAACAATTCCACAGGAGTTTGAACCCGGCCTGGAACTCCAAGTCCGGTTTAGGGTTTAGGGTGTAGGGTTTAGGGTTTAGGGTTTAGGGTTTGGGGTTTAGGGTTTAGGGTTTGGGGTCTAGGAGCCCGTCCAGAGCCGCAGGTGCTGTCCTTCTTCTCTGCGGTGGACCTCTGCCGGGTCGGCGAAGCGCACGCCAAGCTCAAATCCTTGGCGAGCGACGAGGTCGCCGGGTTGTGGGGTTTCAACGGACTAAAGGGGTTTAGGGTTTAGGGTTTAGGGCTTAGGGTTTGGGGTTTAGGGTTTAGGGTGTAGGGGGACCCTAGGGGATATTTCGGGGTTATTTAGGTCCCTCCTCAAACCTCTTCGGGTGACATTTTTCTTGAGCTTCTCTGTACAAAATGTCTGGACCACAATATATTCACTACAGATATATAACGGTTGTTCCACTACAGGTTAGTGCAACGAATGTCAAACCATATACAACGAAATGAAACATTCCAATGGCAATTTCAGCAAGTCTAATTGTTTTTTTCAAGAAATAGTACTCTTTTGGAAGCATAATCCTTACACTATAGCAGTAGAAGTGTGCAAGAGAGAGACCCCCAGACTGGGGCCTCAATGCAGACTAACACCCCTGCTGTCTGTCCATTCTACTCTGAGCTGCCTCCCTTTCTTCCCAAGCCTGAGCTCTAAACCCTAAAGCCCTAAAGCCCGACAAGCCCCCAATACTGGCAGTCCTTAATAGGGATCGTAGTACCCCCGATTATCATACCTAGTAGACCCCAAAACTTTATGGACTGGGAGCCTGCGCTTGGAGGTTCATGGCACTGAAACACTGCCCGAATATGGTTAATAAGTACAGTCATAAGTACAGTTATAACTGGTCAAACCCTAAGCCCTAAGCCCTAAACCCTAAACCCTAAACCCTAAACCCTAAACCCTAAACCCTAAACCCTAAACCCTAAACCCTAAACCCTAAACCCTAAATAAGTACCCTGAACCTCCAAGCGGATCCGGACCGAAACCTTTCGCCCCCCCCCCCCCCCGCCGAGGACACCTGGAAGAGCCTGTGCCAACATCGCTGGCACGGCCGGGCCCAGTTTCGTTTTGTTTTTTTGTTTTTAGGTTTTAGGTTTCTTCAGGGTTTCTCAGGGTTTTTAGGGTGTTTAGGGTTTTTAGGGTGTTTAGGGTTTTTAGGGTTTTTAGGGTTTTTAGGGTTTTTAGGGTATTTAGCGTTTTTAGGGTTTTTAGGGTTTTTAGGGTTTTGGCGGTTTTGGCGGGTTTGGGGGGTTTTTGGGTTTAGGGGTTTGGGGCTTGGTACGGACGCAGCCTAAGCCCATGGCCGCAGAAGATTCAGAAGTTGAACATGTGGGGGGTTGACGATATTGGGGGATACCTTTTTGGGGTCCTTACTATAAGGGGATCCTACTATTTGGGGATCTATTTTGGGGGGCCCCCCATTTTCGTACACCCCAAACTTTGCTTGCAGGACCATCAAGGTGGGATTTGGAGTGCTTGGCTTGTTCCCTTGCAGCGTCCCTTACACTACCCTTTACATTTAACATGTTGTTGTAGTATGCTGTCTTCTCTATCATCTACCAGAAGATGGTGTGTGCACATATCTGCGCATTTTGAGAGCTGGACTACCCTCCACATCCCCTACGCAGTCTTCGCACCGAAGTGTCTCGTGGGTCGGGAAAAAAAAGCAGGACCAAAAGCCCTGAAGCCTAAGTCATACCGGAATCAACGGAGAAACTTGTGGGAGCCACCTGGGTATTTTCCAAAATAGAGTTACCTCGCTTAAACCCCAAAATAGACTCGAATCCCCTTACAGGGACCTCCCAAAAAGGCTACCCCTATTTTCGGAAACCCCCATCAGAGAAATTTGGAGAAAAAAAACCAGTCTGGCCGTTGAGTTTTCGAGGGCCATCCCAAGCTCCGGTGCCACTCTGCGCAGGCAAGCAGTGGATGAAGCCGGGTGAGCTCTTCCGAAATGGCGCTTGGGTGTGCAGCTGTATTTCGACAGGGCGGGGGAATCATTCCCCACTGCTTCGGGGCCGAGAGGTTTGGGAAGCCTGGGGCTGTATACGGCTGTAGTTTTTTGAAGGCTGTGGGTGGCTTCAGGGTTGGTTTGAGATTCCTGGGTGCTACCGATGTCAAGTAGTAGCTAGATAGGTCGTTGAAATAGGTCACGTTTGTTCTACTTGGATGGGCTTAATTGCAGGGCCAACTAAGTCATGCCCGTGGACAGCTGCATATCGGCCCACGACGACCCAGACCTCTTGTTGGAATACCGCATGCACCACCACCCACACACACAAATAACAACATTTTTTAACAATAATAAGAAGAAGAATCAATAAGAATGCAGGTAAAAATCACAATAATAGTAATGATAATAATATTAATAATAGAATAATAGGACTAAGAATGATGATGATAATAACAATAGTAATAATACAACAATAGCAAATAAACCACACACACACACACAATCACACACACACACACAATCACACACACACACACACACACACACACACACACACACACACACACACGTGGAACCTTGCCGAGGTGACTACTCTGGCTTGAGACTGTCCGTGGCAGAGTGCAAATCTCTTCTTCAGCGACGTGGCTTTCAGATACCACATGTCACCGCATCTCAGCAAAATGTGGAAAAAGAATGCACTGCGGTCAGGGAAAAATGCTACGGCTGTCGCAAGAAGACTGTCTTTAAGCGACCAACCCCGGGTAAGTGATATTTCCTGCGACTGTACCTTGTCAGTGCCACTGCCGCTGCCGCTGCCGCTGCTGCAGCAACAAAACCGCTCACTTAGGAGAAGTCCGATCTACTCTGCGCGCTTCACGAGACGAACCCGCATGTTCCAGGAGAAGTCGGGCAGCTTAATGGCTCATGCTATTGTTATGTTCCAGCCCTAACTCATCCTACTCTTTCAACAATCTTTCATGTGAGGGCGACTGCCACGCAGTGGCATGTCAGAACTCAACTTTCCAGGCGCGACATCACTCTCTGAGGTCGGCTCAGGATTTTGCTGTCTGCCATGCTTGGGGTGTCATGCTGCCATGAATTTGGAGCATACAAGCCTTCAACCGCCCACGTGCAAAATTCTTACTCTATGCCGGAAAAGCACAGAGATTTACTCAACATGGTTTTCTGGCGATGGGCCATGTCCTTCGTATGGATGCAGTGCGTCAGCCCGAAGCCCTAGACCAAAATCTTAGGTTGTCACTTGGAAGCAGAGATAAAAGTTCCTGATTGCCAATGTTTTTGTGATTGTTGAGGTGTTTTGTTCAGATACTGAAGAAGTACGAGGAGTACCCTAAACCCTAAACCCTAAACCCTAAACCCTAAACCCTAAACCCTATTGAACAATAAACCCGAACTAGGAGCCCGACGTGGCATGGCCATGATCCCCAGCAAGTGGAGACTCGACCGCACGTCTTTTTGCGGCTGCTGCGTTAGGGCTTTGAGGTTCGTTGGGAAGGGTTAATTTCGGGTCTGGGGCTTAAGGTTTGGAGTGGGTGTGTTTCGATTGATGAGGATCTAGCAGTCGGGATTGCTGATGAGTCAGCGTGCTCGCTCACGCTCTGGAACAAACAGCTTGCTTCAAGGTACCAAAGGAGGGACCCCTGTGAGGGACCTTAGGGGTAATGTAGGGGCTACTTAGGGTCCCTGTCTCGGGGTCCCTCCTTCTATCCCTTCATTGTTCCTGCCAAGGAAGCGATGCTACGTGTACGCAGAGGTGGACAGCAGAAGGCAGCACATTACAGAGGAGGAGGCGGGTTTACCAACCTGTGGTGGATTCCACGGAGAGCAGGCTTGAAGTTTGGGCTGTTGAGGTACCTTCAGCCCAACCATACAACCATAGGCCTAAACCCCGAACTGCTGCACGCGCATGCATGTGCAACGACGTCCCCTTCGCAGATGCAGGTCGCACACTTCCGCTGGCAGCTAGTCTACCACGGCCGGCCATCTTCCATGGGCTTGAGGCACTTCCAGAAGAATGGCGTCTTCGTATCCCCACACTTTGGGGAGACGAGGTGGCACCTTGGATCAGAAGAGGTGGAGCCAGCCCACAGCAAATACAGAAAACAGGCCGAGCCCAAGCCATCCATACCCTAAAAAAAGGCTCTGCATGCTTGCAGGTCCTTACTCCACGGCGGCACGTGGTTCATGATGCAGGGCATAGACCCGCTGAAGGCCAGTAGTTGCGGCACTCAGATGGAGCGAAAGTCACCGTGAGAATGCGATGCGATGCCTGTGGAGGTGAGCCGAAACCTTGCCGCCCGGCTGCACCCGAAGCGGCAGGCTCTCTTCCGACTTTCCCCAACGCCAGGCAGAATGTCATGTCATCATCTGCTCTTTATCCCTTTCGTTCTGAGCTGTTTATTCATGTTGGTTCAGAAGCGACACATCCGACCGCGAGCCGATTGGAATTGCAAGGTACAGAACTCATACATGCACTTCAAAATGACCGCATGGTGCTTGGTGCCACAAAGGACAACTGGGGCTGGGTCATCGGCGCGGAGACCAGTACTGAATACCACTCGGCTGAGGTTGAACAGCATACTTGACAAAAGTGCGTGTGCAGAGTTACATCCAGCTCTGAACGTGTTTACCTTGCTCGCTCTAAACCAGCGACTACTTGAGGGTTTCCGAAAATAGGGGTACCTTATTGGGGTCCTGATGATAAGGGAATCCTACTATTTGGGGTTTAGATTAGGGTCGCTGATTTTCGTGAACCACTTCTTGACTTCTTGAACGTGAGGGCAGCTGTGCTCGATGGACGCAACGGCGCAATGTTAATGACAAGCTTTACGAAAATAGGGGTCTTTCAGGTGGGGACCCCTAAATAATAGATCCAATTACTTCGAACAAGGACCGCAATAAGGTACCCCTAATTTTCGGAAGCCCCCACTTGATGTCAGTCAACAGTGCCTTGCTCAACAGACTCGTTAGCAGTCGGGGCGTGCCAAGCCTTTCAGCACCTCAGGCACCAATTGTGTAAAGATCGCTTGTGCAGTACCCTATCTTCTTGCCAGATTTGACGTGCATGTCTTGCGACATCACACGACTATGACAAATTCGGCATGCTTGCTGCAATCACCCCTGGCCTCTGCTGCCAACTCGCAATACCACGCCACATCAATCGCTTACCATGATGGCGTCACCATGTTGCTGGATGCTGTCAGCGACGTCGTCGCCAGAAAGGACCACAGACAAGTGTCTTCAAGTCTGTTCTGTCAGACTGCTTGAGAGGAGTCTGCTGAATCGCAGCAGCCTCTAGTTCCTCTACCACCCCCACAACCATACAATCCAGGAGTGGACCAAGCGTATCTCCCAGCTGGGCACGCAGAAGTTGTGGCGAGATGCCTGCCAGGCCCGACATCATGGGTGTAGGGGTCTCGAGCTTCATGCAGAGGTGTAGGGCGAACCCCCTAGAACCTAAAACCCTGTAACCCTAAAACCCTAAACCCCAAAACCCCAAAACCCCAAAACCCCAAACCCTAAACTCCGGTCTCGGACTCGAGCCGGAGAGCCAGAGCAGTGGTTCTTACAAGAGATCCAGGCCCTGGCAGCCATGCGTCGCGAGGAGCGTGTGCAGGTTTGAGCGACTTAGATACATATATATATATATATATATACAAACACACACGCACACACACACACACATATATATATATACACATATATATATATACATATGTACACATATATACATATCTATATCTGCCCCCGCCACCCCAGAACCTACCACTTCATGGTTGTTCTACACATTGACATGTGTGCCAAGCCCTGACGAACCTCAAACGCCAGGCCATGAACCACTAAAGTACATCTCGGTTACAATCCTTCAGGCCAAGTCACAAGTTAAGGGCTTGTATGCTGCATTGTATCATTCTATACTTATATATGTCGAGAGTGGGCTATTTCCTGCGCAGGAGCTGCAGCCCAGCATCGTCTCGCACAACGCCGTGCTCAACGTCGTGGCCGCTGTCCCAGCAACTTTTGCCTCAGCGAGGGGTTTAGGGTTTGGGGTTTGGGGTTTAGGGTTTAGGGTTTAGGGTCTAGGGCTTGGGGTTTAGGGTTTAGGGTTTTAGGGCTTTCTGGGGTTTACGATAGTAGGGGTACCTGATTGGGCTCCTTACTTTGAGGGGGATCCTACTATTTGGGGTCTATATTAGGGGTCCCGTACTTTCGTAACCCAGATCTGACCATAAGTCTCGGTGCGCCACGCATGCAATGAATAAACCATTGAACGTCCTGACACGCCCGTTCAGTCAACGCCACACGGCACCGTCAACGGTAGCACAAGAGGGTTTACGAAAATAAAGTACCCCGAACATAGACCCCCCCCCCCCTTATAATAAGGAGCCCAACAAGGTACCCCTAATTTCGGAAATCCCCACAAGACCCATCCCTCATCCCAAAACTAGGTAGGCCCTTTTGGGCATTATATATTTTCCTTTATTGCTTTAAGAGGATCATATTCAGGACATTATATAATTTTCAGAGGGTTTTAGGGGCCATCCTAGAAAACGATCCTGCAGCCAGCAAGAGGTGCGCGCCCATCAGTGGGCCCAGGGCCTCAGTGATCTCCAAGCGGAAGGCTTGCAGCAGGACGAGGCGCCTCGGTAGAAGCGGGTTTAGGGTTTAGGGTTTAGGGTTTAGGATTTAGGGTTTAGGGTTTAGGGTTTAGGGTTTAGGGTTTTCCCTTTGCGCTGACCTGAAGCACCAAGCCCTGAAGCCTCTAAAAACCTGCCCTTACAACCAACTAACATCGTCGTGGGGGGTACTCCCCAGAAACGAGGACGCCCCTGGTCTTCCATGACACGAATGGGAGGCCCTAAACCCTCAAGCCTAGTAAGAAAGGCGTCGGAATAATTACTAATACTTTTCCCTTAGGGTCCCTTTATCATTATACTATAACAACCCCCCCCCAAAAAAAAAACTATTCGCCCTAAACCCTAAACCCTTTCTTCTAATATTAGTATATTAGAGCCCAGCAGAGAGGTGTCGGGCGGCGTGGCTGTAAGAGCTGCTGCGGCTGATGGGGGCCAATGGGCTGCTGCTGAGGTCAACTGGGGCGCAAAGGTTGGGCTCAGCGAATCTTAGGGTTTTAGGGTTTTAGGGTGTTAGGGTTTTAGGGTTTTAGGGTTTTAGGGTTTTTGGGTTTAGGGTTTAGGGCTTAGAACATTTTTAGTCTTTAGAGGTTTCAAAGCTTTGGAATGGTCTACAGGGGCTTTAGACAGGCTTAAACCCTAAACCCTTAGAAGGGGTTCAACCAGAAAGGGGCGACTCCCAGCGCAGAGTCGCGGCTAAGGCTGCTAAGATAGTTTCCCTTCGAGCTCGCGAAAGTATCGGTGGGGTATGCTATGTTACGCTATGATTGGAATGCATGTGTTTGATGTTGCTTGAGGTTCACCCTAAACCTAAACCCACTGTTGGTTTTTTGGGGTTGTTGCTTGGCCTCCGACCTCAGAAGCACGTGTTTACAACTGGAGAGCCGAAACTGAGCTTGGGTAGTGACGTGTGGTGAGCTGCGAGAGGGAGGCTCTCATGAGGACGGACTCACGGCCGTCTTCGCCGGTCATCCTGGTGTTCTTACCTTCCGTAGCTGGAGCTTCATTGGGCACTTCCGACATTAGGGGGGGTACCTTTCTGGGGTCCTTAAAGAAGGAGAACCCTACTTAAGTTAGGGGGGGTACCTTATTGGGGTCCTTAAAAAAAGGGAACCCTGCTCTTTGGGGGTCTACATTAGGGGTCCCTTATTTTCGGAAACCCCCAACCGGCCAGTTCAGTGTAGGCATGCACAGGGGCCATCTCCACACCCCGCCCTTCAACTTACTGTTGGTTAGTAGGGAATGAGGGAACAAGGTCCCTGTATCCCCCTATATACACCCTTTAAGGGTACCTGAGGCACCCTATATCCCCCTTTTTTGATACCCTTTAAGGGATGATAGAGGGCCCTCATTCCCTACGAACCAACAGTAAGTCCAAGGTCACGTTGGAGACCCTGCGGCGTCGAGAGTTGGAGGGCAGCCTGCCTGATTCCAAGCATCGGACCTGTATCTGGGCATTTTCCAAAATGGGGCGTACCCCCTTGATACCCCAAAATAGAATAGAAGCCCTACACCCTAAACCCTATCCCCTTAAAGGGGACCCCAAAAGGGTACCCCCAGTTATCCGGAAACTCCCATCTGTCGAAACTGGTAGGAGTCAAAGTCCCCCCAAGGTATCAGCTGCCAGACAGAAACGATGCAGGGTTTAGGGTTTGGGGTTTTGGGTTTAGGGTTTTAGGGTTCAGGGTTCAGGGTTTAGGGTTTAGGGTTTAGGGGTTAGCCATCAAGACTCCATCCCGGCAGGCACGGTGGTGTCCTTCGGGGCAGCCATCAGTGCCGCTGAGAAGGGCCAGGCATGGGAGCAGGCGGGGCCCACAGACTATGTGTCGTTTGCGGGGCGTCACTTGTAACATAAACCTAGAATCCCAATCCTAGATTCTAGGCTTCTGAAGCCACATCCAAATCTTCGAGCCTCTATCCCCAAGTCCTCAACCCAAAGAATCCCAGGTGTGAGCGAGTTGTTTCATTTGGTTTCATGAGGAGTGCAGAGAGCCAGAAGGGGGGAGGTCCGGTGTAGGGGCTCTAATGGGGTTTGCGAAAATAGGGGACCCCTAAAATAGACCCCAAATAATTGTAGGATCCCCTTAGAAAAAGAACCCCCAAAAAGGTACCCTAGTATCGCAAAACCCCCAAAGAGGATTTGCTGGCTCAACTGAGGCTCATGAGTTGCACGACAAGCTGCTTCGCGAAGGTGGGGGCATTCAATCATTCGCTGATGCCATCCGCACCTCAGTGCTATGCCACCTTCCGAAAAATTGGAGGGATGGAGGAGTAGAAAGTACTTTAGGGGTCGGAATAACTACTAAAAGTATTTCAGGTTCCCTCTGCAATATGATTCTAAAGAACCCCCAAGACCCTACTAATTATTGAGGCCCCTATAGTATCGGTGTCGCTTTGGGGCAGGCCTAAGCACCAGCACCGTAGCGGTCAACGCTGCCATCAGCGCCAGCAAGACTGTAGACTGGAGGCGCGTCGGGAATGACTTCGACATCTTCAATCACAAGTCCTGACGCAAGCCCCACTTTTTTCTTGTCCTACGGGCTGTTAGGAAGGAGATCATGGAGTTAAGTTTGCTACTAGGGTTCCTTTCAAGGCCGGAATATATACCCTAAACCCTTAACCCTAAACTGTTAAACCCATAGGCTACCGAACTTCTTGGCTGTGACCCTCCTAAACCCTAAACCCTAAACCCTAAACCCTAAACCCTAAACCCTAAACCCTAAACCCTAAACCCTGAGCCTCTTGGCACAGGAAAGCCGTGGCCTTCTTGGAGCAGCTGCTGCGCATGCGCTTGGAGCCGACTGTGGCGCCTCGGTAGCTGGTGACATCGGGGAATTCGGGGTGCTAAGCCCAGATATATCTAAACACTAAACACTAAACCCTTGCCCTAAGCCCTAGCCCTAAACCCTAAACTAAGCCCATCTTCCATCAGGTGACTTATGCTGCAGCAATCTCCTGCTGTGAAAAGTCCCGGTGCTGGGAGACGGCCCTGAGGCTGTTCAGCGAGATCAGTCACTGGGTCGGTTTAGGGTTTAGGGGTTGAGGGGTTTGGGGGTTTGGAGGTTTGGGGGTTTAGGGGTTTAGGGGTTTAGGGTTTGGGGGTTTGGGGGTTTAGGGGTTTAGGGGTCTCTGGACAACTTGAACATCCTACTTCTTCGTCAACAACGCCCAAAACTAGGTTGTAGAAACCTATATTGTAACATGATCCTGCAGAAAAGTCTGCGTACACATACTTGCGCATGCATATAAAAGTTGCTGCACGTTGTAAACATCTAGCTCATCTTCGGGTTATGAGCTATGGCTCAGATCATGAGCTTGAGACATTTGCTGGCCTTGTCCCAAGAAGCATCATCTGCTCAAGAGGCATCATCTGCTCAGGTGACATGGAGATTCGGCCAAACATCATTGCTTGCAACGCGGCCATCAGCGCTTGCGTGCCTTGTATGCACCATCAAACAACAGGAGGCGAAAAAAGGGCAACGGCCGTAACTTGACATTTGGTTAAGGTGTTTGAAGATGGATAGTTCGGTGATGCTTGAATGTTCGTCCGCCGCCAAGCCGTGTAGCAATGTAGCATAGAACTCCCGACAGTGACCCAGTATGTCTGACGTCGCATGCCACTCCATCTTGCTGGTTGCCTTAGCAAGGAATTTGGCAATTCATGTCCCGATATTACTCCTCAAGCAATTATAGAGGGACCCAAACTCCCCTCGTTCCCTAGTCAAAAACCAATAGGCCAATGTGGGATCATCTAGGATGCGACCCAGTCTTTCGAGCGCTCGTCGTCAGCCCCAGGAGAAGGCCGGCCAGTGGACCTGGGCGCTGCATTTGCAGGACAAGGGCCCTAAACCCTCGAGATTCAAAAAGAACAAAACGCACAGAAGTTGTGTCCGGATGACTTAGTTCGATGCGCTTCTTTCCAAGTCCGAAGAACCGATGTCGAATTTACTTGAAGCTCCGTACTTGCCAACATATCCTTCTAAGACAGGCCAGCGCTGCACATCTAAGAAAGGCTCCAACAACCAAGCTTAAGTGAGCTGATCCGAAATGCCCCAACAGGCCCCAAATAGGCCGCCCGCAGCGGAGTCTCCAAAAATGCGCTTTGAAAAGCCCCGCAGAGTTGCTCCTCGAGGCCTCCCTAAACTCCTAACCCAACTGCTAAGCTTGGGGGGAAATTCCCCCCCCCCCCCCCATGTGCGAGCACACCCAGGAGCATGCAGAGCACTGGACTTTGCAACTCGGCTCAGCTGACTACGAGGTAGGACCCTGTGCTATCTAAGGGGCATTTCCGAAATTAAGGGTAATTTAGGGTTTAGGGTTTAGGGTACTACGAGGATCATCAGTGCTATCTTGCAGTAAGAGGATCTTGTGTAGGGATCGGGTGTGCATGAACTGTGTAAGTTCTATCCCTTGAAAAAAAACCTTGAAAGGACCCTTAGACGAACTTGTGGGCAGAGCCGAACGAGAGAAGGGCACACGAAATCCAAGACAACAGGGCAAAAGACACAAGGCTAACTCTATTCAACATCCTTGTGTCACCGCTTACACCAAAAAGTCAGCAGCTGAGTCACATAGATTCGGGTCCTGTCCTTTGATCGATATGCGATAGTGATGCATGGAAGCGCACGCGATGACTGTTGATGTGGAACACAAGCAAGAAGAAACCACGGGAACCCTGAACCCTAAACCTCAACCTCGAACCCTTCCTAACCTTGCAAGTCATTGACTGTAGGCCTAGACAGCCCTAGCCCAGCCAAAGTTGGCATCGAGCTGAGCAGACATGGAGGTTGAGGGACAGTGTGGGCCCATATTGGGGAGTTTGTTATGTTTACACTTTAGGGCTTCGGGCTTAGAATTTCGGGTTCAGGGTCAGGGTGCCAGAAGGGTCCATAGTTTTGATCACCCCCCCCCCCCCCCTCCCCCCCCAAATCACCCAATCCAGGAACCCAAACGTCGTGACCTACGCTGCGAGCACCAGCGCCTGTGAGAAAGCAGCTGAATGGGAGCCGGCAGTGTCTTCCCCAAGCATTGGAGAGTAGAGGTAGGGCCTCCTGCAGCTTCAACTTCTGGCTTTTTTGTTTGAACATCGTTTGCTAGACTAGACGAGGACATGAGACCTCCTAGGCCCGTTGTGCATTGAGAGACTGCCCGAACCCCTGAAACCCCACAAACCCTCCTCCCGAGACCCTGAACTCCCCAAGCTATGGGATATTGTATGCACGACAGGTTCTGAAGAGCCAGCGTCTTCGCTCTTAAACCTAACCCGCTGAACCTCCTCAATTCCTTCAGCCTCCTAAACTCTTTAAACCTCCTAATCTTCCTACACTCCCTACACCCCAGCAAGGTTGCTGCTGCGTGCGGCCCGACGCAGACTCCTCGAGCTGAACGTCATCGCGTGCAACGCCTTCCTTGGAGCCTGCCAGAATGCGTGGCAGTGGCAAAGGCCCAAAGTTCGACCGGGGTTTGGGCGTGGGCGGGGGAGAATTTAAGGGGCTTGCTTTAAGGGGGCGATGGTGGTGCTTTCGTTTAGGGCACGCGTTTCGCGCGAAGAGCATTAAAGAAGGTCGTCTAAAATCCGAAGAGGGGTTTAGGGTTTAGGGTTTAGGGTTTAGGGTTTAGGGTTTAGGGTTTAGGGTTTAGGGTTTAGGGTTTAGGGTTTAGGGTTTAGGGTTTTTCAGAAATTTTTGTGCCCCGACCCCAGGTCCCTAGCTGCTCTTGCAGCCATGGCCGGCCAGTGTGATGCAGCTCGGCCTTTCTTTTGGTGGGGAAAAACCGATTCGTAAGGCCGGTGTCCATGTTCACAAGAGGGGCACACCTTGTGGCAGAGTGCCCCCCAAATCGTGCCATCCCGGACTCCATGTAGCAACTCGCAACCTGCGCACAGCCGGAAGGTCGTGTCCGTCACAGCCGCTGTCACAGCTTGTGGCGATGCGTCCGCATGGCAACATGCCACCGGTGTGGACTCCCAGACCTGTGGCTCCTTGATGATGCGCAAGTGTGACTCGCAGTCCGGATTACCAGGATTCCCAAAGCCCGCTGCTCAAAACCTCGCCCTGAGATTGCATTTGGTAGAGGGTCGAGGAAATAGGATGCTCCAAGGTTGGGATGTGTACCCCCTTATACGACCACCCCAAATAGAATAGAATCCTTGGGACGTTCCCACTTATACTAACAGTCCGTAAGAGGGACTATAATAAGGCGGGGGGGGGGGGGGGGTACTACAATCCCCATCAAGGAGCTGCCAGCATAAGGGGGAACATCTCAAACAATCATGTTTAGTCCGACCCTCTTTTATAATTCCTAGCAGTCTTTAATCGGGATTATAATAGGGGGGGGGGGGTATTATAATGACTGTTAGTATAAGGGAACGAACATCCCAACTCCAATGGCATCCTAACACCTTAATAGAAAATTGTAGTAGGGGGCACGAAAATGCCTAAGATTATCCCTATTAACGACTCTTCGTATAAGGGGGAACATCCCAACTCCAAGGCCTCATGGTGGATGTGGATGCCCACCGCCTCCACCCCGACTTCTCCTTGCTCAGCGTCGACGCCTCGGTCTGGAAGCCAGCGCGCACCCTTCAAAAATCAACGCTATAACCCGAAACCCTAAACCCGAAAGCCTAAACCCTAAGCCCTAGTCGGTCCTAAGCTTTGCGCCACGAGCCCCGAAATCCCCGAACCCTAAACCTGACTCCCCTGCCCTGATAGTCTTGAGGTCCTTCATTCTGAGCCCTCAACCCTATTGGCTGGTAGTAGGGAATGAGGGAATGAGGCACCATTGCATTTCCTGAAAAGGCACATTATAGGGCCCTACTTCCCTCATTCCCTACCTTAGAACCCAGAGGCCTCAACCCTAAACCCTAAACCCTAAACCCTAAACCCTAAACCCTAAACCCTAAACCCTAAACCCTAAACCCTATAAACCCTAAACCCTAAACCTTAAGTTGAACCGGGCGCACCAGAGGCTGCCATGTCAGCTTTCGCGGAAGGGGCGACCTCCGCCCAAGGAGGATGGTTGACACCCGGCGCTTGTTCATGGCTCGAGGTTTAGGGTTTAGGGTTTAGGGTTTAGGGTTTAGGGTTTAGGGTTTAGGGTTTAGGGTTTAGGGTTTAGGGTTTAGGGTTTAGGGTTTAGGGTTCATTACAAGTAGGTTGGGGTTAAGTTAGGGGCCTTGAAAAACTGCTGACGTCCCTCCGGGACTCCCCAATTCCCCTCAACCTAACCTGATACCAGAACCAGCGCTAGACGTTACAAGCACAGTCACCCGACTGATACCCCAGCTTGCAAGTACCACGAGCCTTCAAGTAAACCCTAACACCGGAAAAAACTTCGAATGCTCAACAAGCCCCATACCTAAAGATAAGAACACCTGACCAAGCCCTAGAATCCCTAAACCCTTTACAAGTCTACTAAAGCCCGATGTTAAACCCCGAAAATCTCTTTTAACACCCTAAACAAACCCTCAACCGAACCTAAACCCTAAACCCTAAACCCTAAACCCTAAACCCTAAACCCCTACAACGCTCCCCCAATTCCCACGCCAAAGGCGGGCCCTGGAGATCCAGGGCGCTTTGCCGCCGCTGCGGCTCCGGCCCGGGCTCGCGTCCTTCAACTCCGTGCTGCCTGGCACCGAAGCTGAGGGGTTTAGGGTTTTTAGGGTTTAGGGTTTTAGGGTTTTAGGTTTTTTTTTGGGTTTTTTTGGTGTTAGTTTTTCTTCAGTTTTTAGGGGTTTTGGGGCGGGTTGGGGGGTTTGGGAGTTTAGGGTTTTTGGGTTGGGGGGTTTAGGGTTGTTGGGTTTTTGGGTCTTTGGGTTTAGGGACTTGGGGTTTTTGGGGTTTAGGGTTTTTGGGTTTTTTAGTTTTGGGGTTTGGGGTTTAGGGTTTAGTGTTTTTCGCTCGTCCAGGACTATCGAGGGAGGTTACTTCTCCTGGGCGGGCTACAGCACAAGACTATGATGAGTTTCTGGCACAACAACAGGAAAACCAAGAAGAATTGGCAAGCAAAGAACAGGAATATGAGGAACAATGGCACGACAGCAGGAAAATCAAGGAGAATACGCAAACGTAGCACCAAATAATGGTGCATGGGAGCAACAAAAGCCGTTGGGAAGAAAGGAACCCTTAACTTAACAGAAGTGGAGGGGGCTTTGTGCTTCTAAAGAAGATTCTAGGGCCATCAAGTCACTACACGACGAACGCTCACCATAGTTCCTGCTACCACCAGCTTGCGTGGGCTCACAGGCTTCGGGCCTGCCAGCGCGACAGTGCCTGGCGCGGCGGCGTTGCTGCGCAGCCTGGTGTCGGTTAGCCTACCTACACGTTCTTGCACAAGCCCGGGTTTACGAAGTGTCTAGGGTTCTCAGCAGCAAACATAGAAGGGGTGAATGCCCAGTAACCATATGAAATCATCGCACTGAGTTCTACATGATCGGTGCAGACATTCAGATGTCCCCATGCAGCGCAGGGGCTACTCATTACAAATCGGGGACGCTGTGAGGCTCTGTGAAATGGCACGCTTCCAGCTGTCACCGGACGAGGCCTGCTTCGGGGAGGTTACAAATTTACAAATCATCGCTTTCCCAAGCCAGAGGGCCTCTTGAAACGAAGGGTGCATATAAAGGGCAGCAGGAGTTTCCTGCGGCCCTGAAAACCCCAGAGGTGGGCTGCGCCGCAGCCCTCCGAGGCTGCCAAAATGCCGAGGCTTGGGCGCCACTGCGCAGGCACGGGAGCTCGGTGAATGGGGGAGCGTGGCTCCGTGAGCTCCTTTTATACAGGGTGGCTGGAAACAAGAACCCTTGGAGACCCTAAGTTGTAATTTCTCGAAACGTTCAGATGCGCCTCTCGGGACTCGGAGCTGGGGGAAGGATGAGTGATTCGACGCCTTGAGTGGTCTTTTTTGGGATCCTTATCCTGAAGCCATGTGTGCAATAGTTGAACGCTGCAGCGCAGATGCCAAAGCAGGCAGTAACACTTAGCTCGTAGCTTTGCATGCTGGAGCCTAGATGCTGGAGTCACAACCCCAAGCCCGGCGCCCTAAAGCCCCAAGCCCTAGAATCTAAATCCGTGCCCAAAACGCCCCAAAAGCTGGTCGGAAGGTTGCTTGATGACATCTCGGCCGGCCTGCTCCGTGAAGTCACTTCAAAAGGGGTGCAGGGTTGAGTTGAAGGCTTCCAGCTCCAGGGCTTCAGTGGGGTTAAGGGCACAGCATTTCGAGTCACAGAAGCGTCATGCCGTTGCCCATCCCGTAGCAATGAGCTAGGACTAAGAGAAAACACGATGCATCACAGCGACTTGCAGTGAACATGGCTCAGCTGCGGTTTTGCCTTTTTGGAAAGCCGTGTTCGTTCTCCACGAGCCTTTCGAATCAAAAGCGGCCTGTCGAGCGCTTTCTGCAAGTTACAGAAGCCACATGGCGGCCGCCAGAGAGAGCGAGGCTGCAGACATGCAAAAGCGTCTCGGATCCTGGTATAGGCCTGTGGGACGTGGTTCCTTCAGTCAGCTTGACCTTAACAGATCTGGCATGCTTCACTACCCACACTCAATCGCACTCATATGCTTTTGGACTCAGCAGCGGGTAAGGACGGTGGAGAAGCAGCAAGAGAGACTCAAGAAAGCAAAGGAGGAGCCCGGACGACAGCATTCAGTCTAGCCAACTATGTACTACTCACAAGGCTTCATGCCGGCTGACTACTGACAGTCCCTTCATCGCTGCTGCCTTAGGAGAGAAGCTGGCTCATAACGCGCGGCAGCAGTGGCGCGAAGCTGCAGTCAAGCTTGAAGTTGGCAACCAAGCGAGCCAAGAAGCAGATGCTCGCCTGTGACTTGAAATTACTCCATAAAGCCTTGGGACGGGCGACAGAGCGCTCATAACATCCCACACGAGAGAAAGGAAAGCTTGACTCGTGTTCAAGAGCAAGAGCATGCTGATGCTCAGAATTTCTTCTTCAGACAGCTAGCTCATTAAAACTAAGCAGAGATGACATTGTTCAGATTGCCAGTGCTGAAGCACTTCACGCATCAAGCATACCGAGCAGCGGCACGCACGCACACACGCACGCACGCACCCACACACACATCACACACACATCACACACACATCACACACACATCACACACACATCACACACACATCACACACACATCACACACACATCACACACACATCACACACACATCACACACACATCACACACACATCACATACACATCACACACACATCACACACACACACACAGACAGACAGACAGACAGACAGACACATCACACACACATCACACACACACATCACACACACATCACACACACATCACACACACACACATCATACACACATACACACATACACACATAACACAGCACGTTGCAGCGCAGACTTGCAGAAAAGGGCAGAGAGCTGAGGAAGAACGTCGACATCTGCTTCGTGTTCGACATGACGGCTTCAATGGAGTGGTGGCTGAAGACGGCCGCAGAAAAGATGGAAGAGATCGTGCTCGACACCATGGAGCGTTTGGGGCAGGACGCGCACGTGCGCGTGGCCTTTGTCGGCTACAAGGACTATGAGGAGGAGAATCATCCCGTGGTTCACCCCTTTACCAGCGATGTCACCAAGATCAAGGCCTTCTTGCGCACGCTCGAGGCAGAGGGCGGGGGCGATCAGTGCGAGGACATCCTCACTGGCTTGCAAGCCGCGCTTGAACTCGCATGGTGCTCCACCTCGAAGGTCCTGTATTTGTTAAGTCAAACGCCCAATCATGGCTGGCGGTTTCACACCTCATTTCATGTGTCCACGAGCCGGAGTGCCATCGAAGAGGCCGTGGCAGCCTGTCAGGGCGTGCCTCCGGCGAAGCGGAAACTGTTAGCCGACAAAGTGGCCACAAAGTGCTATGATCTTCATGGTGAGGACCCGCGGCAGTGGCAAGCGATGGACGCAGCACTTGCTGAGTTTCAGAAGCAGGGCATACAGATGGTCTTCCTTAAAGTTAAAGACGACTCCATACTGGACAAGATGGTGCACGTGTTCCGCCACCAGTATCAGAAGGATGTGGCGGACCCATGGCTTCTGAAGGTGGTTGCCTTGGACCGTGATGTCAAGCTCTTCCGAAATGTCGTCACCAGCATGGCTTCGGCGAGCTTCAGCGCCTCCCTTTCCCGGATGAGCAGGTCAGGCGCACAGCCTCACGCGCGGCTGCCGCTGTCAGTCTCCCACACACCCCCAGCAACTTCTCTGCAAGCAAGGCGTCGTTTGTCAGCAGCTTTGTCTGTCAACCTGCTGCTTTGTGGGTGATTAAGGACTGGTCTAGCAGCGGAAAGTGGACGCATGTGCAAGCGCAGCTGATCTCTTACGAGGTCGAAGACTTGGATAGTCCAGCAAAGAAGCTTTCTCGAGACTGCAAGGTGGCAATCTGCCCCACTCCCTTCGGGAAAGGGGCCATGCGATTTGCCTTTTATGTCGTTGACGAAGACCATCAGAGCTGTCTCGTCGGCAAGGTCTACCAGTTCGACGACGAAGCGTATCAAAGCAAGTCCACGTATGAAGGGGACATGATGTCGCAGGCCGTGGCGCAGTTCCTGGCGAGGGAATTCAGCCTGGAGTACCCCGCAACTCGTCTTGACCCAACAAAGTGAGCCGACTCCAGCTAAGCCCAATGCCCCATTGCTGGCCTAGTCTCTCATCAAGCCTCTGCCTGCCGCCCAGGAGATGCCGATAGAGTTTGTGCAAGCTCAACTGCTGGTGCTTGAGAGTGCTACCACAGAGTTCCCCTTCAAGTTCATGGCTCTGGAGCCTTGGATTCCCGGAAGGTACGAGAAGTTCACATCCAATGCCGGGCACATCACGGCGGACTCGGACCTTGCACAGGCGTTCTCCCATTACACGTTTCAGAAGAGCGATGGGGAGATTTTGGTCAGCGACATCCAGGGGGTGCAAACCACCCTCACGGATCCGCAAATTCATTCCGAGGATGTCGTTTTGGCCGAGGGAATCTCAGGACCAAGGGAATGGACATGTTCTTTGCCAACCACGTCTGCAGCGACATCTGCCGAACGCTGCAACTCAAGGTTCACCCTTTCCAGCCTGGGGGCCCAAGCATGCCCTCAGAAATGCAGAGGGGGCTCGCAACTCTTCCGGAGGATGACGCAGCATCTGGGGCCCCTGAGGAACCTGATCCACACGCCCTGAGCATGCCTCTGCAAGGCTCAGAGCTCCAGCGCTTCCTCGAAGCCGTGCGACGCTCGGCACAGCTTGATGAAGAGATCCGAAAATACTCGTACAGTAAGTATGCAGAAATTGCAAGTCAACCGCTCTAATCGCACACTCCCGGTGCAGCTCTTAGTTTTGCTAGTACCCCGAAGTCTTCCATTGACCCAAGCCTTGCCGGCGCAAAGCCGCACAAGCACTCTGAATGCAAAGTACAGTGCAAGGTTATATACTCAAAATTCACGAACCCGCACAGAAATAATACTACGCATCGACAGGAGCCGATGCGAAAAAACTGCTGGAGGCTGACAGCAGGAGCCACGTGGAAACCCAAACGCCTGAACAATACGGTTGACTTACCATGATGGGTCTGCGCCAGTATTTGCAAGGTTCACTTCTCAACGCATCCTTGACGGGTTCGGCTCACTTGCTTGCAGGACCTGGCTGAGTTGGACTCGCACAACCTCGGATAGCTTGGGTGGAGCAGAAATTGAATGGACACCTTCTCCAAAGATCATCCGTGTTGAGAAGTGCTCGCCTGCCAGCCTTGCCGGGTGCGAACCCGAGGCGTGTTTGACAATGATCGCAGGCACCAGCGTCAGGGCCTCGATGTAGGGAAATGGATGGCTTGCGAGCGCAATGCAAATGTACCATTTACATGTTGAAGTTTAAAGTATTGGAGCAAAGCAGGATAGGAGCTTTGTGGCTGTAGCGTCTTGCTGTTTTGCTGCATGCAGCTCGGTTGATCATGTTGGTTTAGTCTACTTACGTTTTCTGAATCCGCTGGCACTCTGAGTGGCCATGTCATCCTGCAGAACTGCTGTCCTATTCGTCATGTCATACTCGAAATAGTTGGATGTTTCGTGGAGGTCTGCGCTTGGAGTATAAAGGGAGAAGGTTATCGTCCCTAAGCTCCAGTTTGATTGCGGGGTGTTTCTGCGGGGTCTGTGCCAGCATATTCAGTTTGTGCAGTGGGTGCCGTAAGGGTATTCACGGTGTTCACAAAATAGGGGGTCCCCCGAATTTTCCGCAACATCCTACAAAACGGCGGCCCCTAATTTTGGAAACCCAAAGTCTCAGGTGCAGCGCCTTGCTCGAACAGACATCCTGAAGCTTCTTGCAGCGGAGAAGAACATGATTTTCGCAACGTGGTCACCATCGAGACTGCAACAACTGGCACGCGAAGTCCTACAGCCAGAGCCCTTGGAACTTCTTGGCTTGCTACACGGGCTCGCCGACTTAGCTGAGTCCCGTTCAAGCACTGGCATGCACCTGAGTTGGAAGCCAGCTCCACACCCTTCAACAAAGCAGAGCCGCCATTCATGTCCAGCTTAGGCCTAGCGGATCTGCATCGGAAGCTCCTTGCAGAGCATGAACGAAATGAGAGGCAGAATTGCATGATGCGTGCAGTAGTCTGTCTGGACTGCTCAATGTTGCACTTGTTTTAGCTCATCTACCTGCTGTAATCACAAGTTTCCCGGATTTTTTCTGTGAGGTCAATTTGTTGGTGGTATTCGCTAGTACTCGCGAAAATCACAAGTTTTTGGGGTGGATTTGTTTGGGGTTAGGTCAACTGCAGTCTGAGGCACTGTTCTCCCTGTTCTTGTTTCAAAAACTCAGGTAATTACAGGGATCTCTCAGGTTCAGCTCAACGATTCAGGAATTAAGAGCCTTGGGCTCCAGGAATTAGAGAGCGAGAGAGGGTCTCCTTACGAAACGAGGCCCAAACAGATTTCGCGATAGGTAGCCTACAGGCTGGCCCGATTTGCTTCAGTAGGTTGGTTTGGGACACCCGCTATCATATTGAAAATTTCACACCTCAAAGGCTTCAAGCTTTGTCAAGCTTTCAGGGCGTTGGGCCAAAGATGGCCAAGGCCAAAACGCCTTTGGCTTCAATCCAGGGAGGAAAGCTTCAGGCCTTCCGTCCCAGCAGGTTTCAGGCTTGCTTCAGCCCAAGAAGGCAGAACAACTTCAAACCAGAAGGCCCTAAAGGTTTCAGGCTTGGAGGCCTTAGCTCGGGGGGGGGGGGGGGGGGGGTCTCAGCCGGGTGCAGCATTGATACATTCAAGTTCTGTGCCATTATCTCGCAGTGCCTTCCGAAAAGGGACTCACAAGCCCATTTGCAGGAAGGGACAATTTCTGGATGCAGTCAAGCACGATGCGAAGAAGTGCCTTCAGGCAAGGGCGTGTTGGCCAGGTTTCGGTTTCTGTGGTGGTAGAGTGGCCATTTGTTGTTTGCTTGGCTTGGGGGTCTTGGAAGGCAGAAAAAATGCAGCAAGTCAGAGTCTTCAGACTGTTCTGCGCCTTCATGCGATCCAGGCAGACGCGAGCGCAACGAGCAGCTGCAGCCGTGATCCTCCTCCTGTGGACTGCCTGGCCGGAGCCAGCTTTGCTTGGACCACCCCACCCGAAGTCATTGCTGTGCAAAAAGGCTCTCCAGCAGACGGCAATTTGACTGCGTGAGTTCGGGTTCGTGATGCCAGGTAGATGTAGATGTTAAAATTGGGTTGCATCTCATGGCACATGTCACTTCCGGATTCAGGACTGGTGGAAGTCGGCGTAAGGCTGCATGAAGTTGGTGGGCAGGATGTGGCGGGCATGAGCCGTGCACAGATCCTTCACCTGCTGCAAGATTGCAGCTCCATGCGAATGCAAAGATCCTCAATCGCGGTAGCAAGCCGTCGTTAGGGGTTCTAGAAACTCCTTAGACCCAGAGTTGAGTTTTTCATTCCCGTGAACACCTTGCAGACCTTCTGCCCAGCTCAGGGTCTGCCGATTTGTCTCGAATGCTACGCGACCTTTTCAAAGATCTCCCAAGCATCGCAGATCTTGAGAAGGCAAAGAGGCGGGATTGCCAGTTCCGCGATGCATTTCATCCTGAAATCCTGCTTTTCCCATAGTGAAGGAAGTGCGACTTTCTGGGAAAAGTCCGGGAGGATGCGAAGCTATGCCTCCAGGCGAGCCTAGGTGGTTCAAGGACCAGCGAAGCAGATGTGGTGGACTGCTTGGCGGGAGCCAACTTTGCTTGGCGAACCTCTCCGGAAGTCATTGCTGTGGAGCAGGGCTCCCTGGCAGATGGCATCTTGACTGTACAAGCATCGCTTTGGCAAGGGCTTGGTTAGCGGTACATGCCTCCTCCAGATCCCAGGACTGGTGGAAGTCGGCGAGAAGCTGCATGAAGTTGGTGGGCAGGAAGTGGCGGGCATGAGCCGTGCACAAATCCTTCACCTGCTGCAAGAGTGCAGCTCCATGCAAATGCGTGAAGCCTCAACCGAGGCGGGAAGCTTAAACCTTGCGGCACAGTCCACGTGAAAGTTACTGTATCTGGCAAGGCATGTCTGTCACCCTGAAGGTTTCAGAAGCGGCCTCTCACGATCCCGTGTCTGGGCTGGAAACGAGTTCCCTCGGCCATCTTCGCGTAAAATGGTCCGATCCTCCAGTGATCGTAAGTGACAGAGCTGAACCTTCTGGAGATCTCCTCGTTGAAATCGACGGCACCAGCCTGGTGGGCATGACGCAGCCCGAGGTACGAAGCCTGTATCTCAACCGGCAAGGACCAGGAACAGGAAGCTTGAGTATGGGCAAAATGTCTGCGTTGTATCGAGACCCTTTTCTCAGGGGTGATTTGTTGAGGAAGCTCAAGGCAGACCGCTATCCTGTGCACTTTGGTTCGACATGTACAGGATGCCAGGCAAGCCCTCTCGTCGGTTTTCGCTTCAGCTGCAAGACCTGTCCCGATTCGCACTACTGCGCCGCCTGCTTTCGGGGGCGGGGGCACTCCCACGCAAGCGGCCACAGCTTCACCAAGCTGGAGTACCCAGGCGCTCCCATCGTTGATGCCCTTCCACCACCAGCACTGCAACCCGGCTCGGCCGTCGTGATTGTTGGCACTGGTCAGAAAGACCAGGATGGCCAGCTGGGCCTGCTCCTGTCAGATGCGACCTCTTCAGCAAGCTGGCAGGTGGTAGTGGATGGCCTCGACCAGCCGTGCACTGTCGCGGCAGAGCACCTGTTCGTGAAGACGGAATCAGAACCGCAGCCAGAACGGCTGCCTGAATCGAAGTCGCCGGCTCAAGATTCAGACAAGCTGAAGGAGCCGAAGCCAGACGTTGCCCGCGCAGCGACGCCAGCCCGTGCAGCAGTCACTCCTCGGCGCTCCAAGGCCAAGCGGCAAAGGCAAGCACAATGAGATAGGTGCAGTCTGCATGCTGTATCCTCAGGCAGAAGACTCTGAAGCGGCTCTTTCCGATAAGTCCGACGGTGAATCTGTTGCAGGACGGCACGTGGCTAGGTCTGGGAAACACCGTGGCGACAAGTGCAGTAATCACTGTCCAAGCCGGGCCTGGCAGGACTTTCCCTTTCACAATCCGCCCGCGAATTGAGGAAGGCCCCTCGGCATGAGCACGCTCCACAATCGGCTGCATGAAGCTCTCAGAGGGATTGTCGTTGAGGCTCCGCTCGTCCCTACAGCTGGGGTTGTGAGTTGTGCGCGTCTTGCAAGGCAAATGCGACAGCTGCGTTGCAGCGATGCAAGTCCAAGGGGTGCTTGGGCCTCCAAAACCGCAACTAAACTTATACCAGCATGAAAACATCTGCTGCGCAGACCTGACACAAAGCGGTCTTTGAATTTACTGTAAGCGATTCAACTAAGGTCTTTGCCGCGGCAAGTGCGGCGCAATGGTGGAAGTGGACACGGAAGATTACATCAAGAACGGTCAGTTTGTTCTTTGCACCTGGGATTGGATGAAGGGAAGAGAGCGAAAAAGAGTCTTTTCTTCGTTATGCAGCTGTAAACAAGGTGCCAAGTGCAAGGTCAAAGCGGCCAACAGCCAGGTGAGGGCTGCATTTTCTGATGGCTATTGTGTGGCTTTGAATGCATGGGTTCTACCTCAGAGAGCCATGTGCGAATGTGTTCAGGCCACGAAGCCGTGCTCGGAATGTAGCCAAGACATCGTGTACTCGCTCTTTGAAGCAGACTGTGGACGTGAGATACCCTCGTGCTGTGCAAAATGCCTCCCGACTGCAGAGCAGTATGTTACGAACTCCTCAACTCACAGCTGTCATGTTCCAAAGGCATCGGGAAGCATCTAACTGTGCCTTCCAAGGCAGCGGACAAGGTGCTGGCAGATGGATTCTCATCAGCCCGCTGCCGCCTACTGGCAAGTCGATGCCTTCTCTGGAGTAGGCATAAAGTTTTTGTAAAGAAAGCAGTACTGCTGCTGCATGGAGACAGAACGCCGTGGCAAGTTGTGGCAAGATACACAATGCTGCCCTACTCATGAGCTTCCATGAATTCCCACGATGTCTCCTGCACGGAACATGTGGCAGTTTTGCCTCCTGGCCATGGGCACCAAGACACGGAATGCCCTTGACAGCGGCCAGAGGCGTTGGAACTTAGTGGCTCGCACATCGTCCAGAATGGAGCACATGCTCCCCCGCATCTGAGGGCATGCCACCAGGTGATGAGATGTGATTGATTGAAGGGGAGAACTGTTCTTGTGACGAGCGTGCACTGCCCGTGACAATGCAAGATTTCCAAGATTTTGTGTCATGCACTTTTCAGACAGGTCGCAAGCCGGCATCACGGTGTTGCGAAAGGAGTTCCATATGCAGTGCATGCATGCCGGGAGCAACACTCCAAATTCTCCGCAGTTGGTGCCTATGCTTTCATGGGTCAGAATCATCCTTGAATCCCTCTGGAAACCTCAGACTTCAGCGTTGCGCCCGCCGAATCTGACAACACGCAGCCATTTGGCACGCCCACGCACTTGATCAGATGGTACCAAGTCTGAGTCCCGTGTTTCAACCTCACCCGCAACTTAGAGGTCACGATCTGCCTGCAAAATGCACATGCAGAGCAGACACGAATAGACCCAAGGCTAGACTTGTGACATCTCATAGCCGACAGTGGCTTCCGAACCAGATGGTGACCACAGAGCAACGGCTGTGCAGAGACATGTCTGCAAGAAGAAGGAGTCCGTCCACAATCTAGCATCTCCTGTGGCTCCCTTTTGCTGGCACGCTGTAGTTGACTCAAATTATTGCTCAGCACAAGCATCGGAGGACCAAAGAATCCTAGGCATGAATACACTTCGGGGCTGATCTCAGTTATGGTCCCCTTATGTCCCCTTCTTGGTTCTTTAAACTCTGAGAAACGGTGTTCAGCGAGCCCAAAGGCCAAGAAAAGCGATTCCTAAACGTCCTAAACTGCATGGAATATGTTGATATCCAGACTGACAAGGCCCATATACATGTTTTTGATTAGTTTAGTAGTTGTTGTTGTATCTCCTCCCCCCACTTCTCGCATCTCAGGAGACTATGTCAAAGAACTTTTCCAGACTTGCAGAGGCACGAGCTGGCGAAGCTCTCTTTTCTTTCATGCAAGCTACTCGTATCCTAAGCTCTGAACTCCTGGTGACTTCGTAAGTTTAGGTTAGCGCTTATGTAGGGCCCGGTGCTGGCAAGACATGGTTGACGCTGGCGGAGGCAGCCTCCCTGCAAATCTGCCCGCAGCAAGCTGTGTGGCGGTTACGAAAATAGGGGGCCCTTAGTGTAGAAGCCCATATTGTAGGATTCCCTTACACTAAGGACCCCAAAAAGGTGCCCCTAGTTTCGGAAACCCACGTGTCTCCCCCGAGCGAGGCATCGCCGAAGTCTTTGACGGCGTCGCGGAATCGCCTCCGGCAGCCCCCAGGTGGCTGCAGCTATATGGGGTTTACAAAAGAATAGGGGGGCCCATAAAGTAGACCCCCAAAGTGTAGGATTCCACCCAATTGAGGTAGGGTTCCCTTAGAATAAGGACCCGAATTCAGGTATCTGGTAGGAGGCTTCTAGTTGAAGGGGCGCTCAAACTTGGAACAGATGTTTGGCCACACTGGTCGTAGCGCTGCAGTGGGTGAAGCAACCTGTTTGCATTGAACGGTTGCGTGGTCGCAGAAGCACGGCAATATATCCTCCGTCCCCATACCTTTCACGAAAGAGCCAGCCAGCACTAATGTCCCAGAATCTGTGCCCCAGACGCCAAGAACAAAGGAACCAGAAGCAGAAGCCGTAAAGCCCAAGAAGTGCAAAAGCCGCAAAAAAATTCGAGGGAAACCTTAAAGCCTCTGAAGATCTGTAAACAACAACCTCAACTCTAGGCCCTTAAACCTTGCAACCTTCTGTACCCCAGGATCCGCAGGCCGCCACCGCGTGATGCCAAGCCAGTTGAGTCCTCAGATGTTGGCCTGGGGGTTGCGAGTTTTGGGGATATTTGAGTTAGGCTGTTGGACTCTTGGACCTTGCTTGGGGTTTAGGGTTTAGGGTTTAGGGTTTAGGGTTTAGGGTTTAGGGTTTAGGGTTTAGGGTTTAGAGATTTAGAGATTTAGAGATGTAGGGTTGAGGGTTTAGGGATTTAGGGCTTCGGGTTTGTTAAGTTTGGGGTTCAGGGTCGTGGCCCTGTCGGGCTCCATGCAGCCGCACCGCTTCCTCCCGCTGAGCTGTCCGAGGTCCCGGCTCCACCTCGCAGCCGGCTGCTCAGAGGATTGCTGGCTTAGGGTTTAGGGTTTAGGGTTTAGGGTTTAGGGTTTAGGGTTTAGGGTTTAGGGTTTTAGGGTTTAGGGTTTAGGGTTTAGGGTTTCGGGGCTCAGGCCGTCAGACCGAACCGTTGATGCAAACCAGAACCCTTAATCGCTAAGTTCCTAGACGAAGAGCTCTCAACCTCATGCGGCGCCCATGCTTCCCCCAGCCACCCCTGTTCCCCACGTCCGAAAGGCTGTGAGTGGGTTTGAAAGTATCCGTGGCTAGGAGGCTTTTCGGGTTCGAAGGCGGCAGCCCCCTCAAACTGCAAAAGCCCAGACACACCCAAAACCCCTACAAACTCCCCAGAAAACCCTTAAGCCTGAAGCCCCCCAAGCCTTAAGTCCCCCAAAATCTTGAAGCCCTTCAACTCTGAGGCGCCCCACCTCGCAGCGCAGGCCCGCGGCGCGCCGCGCGGAGCGCGCACCTGAAGCTCTTCAAGGCCATGGGTTCGGTTGGGGTTCAGGGGTTTCAGCTTATTGTACGTCATACCGTATGGGGGCTTGCGAAAATAGGGTGACCCCCAAAAGGGACCCCAAATAGGAGGATTCCCTTATAGTAAGGACCCCAAAAAGGTACCCCAATTTTGAGGAAGCCACCATATATGAAAGATTGTTTCGTGGCTGGGAACAGCCCGTTTGTGCCCTCTAGGTAAGGTTTGCAGAGACAGGGCCCATGAAGCAAATCCCTGCCATACAGCTGCACTTCACCCATCCCCCAAAGTGTAAACCCTAAACCCTAAACCCTAAACCCTAAACCCTAAACCCTAAACCCTAAACCCTATCGTGATTCGGGAAGGGGGTGGTGGGGACGATTACAGCATTACACCGGCTGCAAAAAATGTTCTTATGCACGGGTTCCTTGTTGGGGTTCTGATCGCTGCTTTTCAGCATGTAGAGGGCGGCCTCAGACCGGCAGAGCAGCTAGGGAGGTGGAAATATAGGGGTCGGAAGAATTACTCGTAGTATTCCCTTGTTGTCCCTTTGTAACTATACTATAAGAACCCCCCAAAACCCGATTGAAATTATTCTGCCCCCTATATTTTATATATGCTCTTTATTGTTGCAGGTTGAAACCTGGCAGTCTGGCTAGGGCCTTGTCGGCCCAAAACACCAGTTCAGGGACGTAAGGGTGGCCAGACAAGGCCGAAAACTCCAAAATCCTGCGGCCGAAGGCTAATTAGACAGGATGTTGGAGCTTTCGACCCAAATCCCGCGTTGAACTTCTCACCCCCTAAACCCTAAACCTTAAACCCTAAACCCTAAACCCTAACACCCTAACACCCTAACACCCTAACACCCTAACACCCTAACACCCTAAACCCTAAACCCTAAACCTGGCCCCCCCCCCCCCCGCCGGCACCCGCTGAAAAGATCAGCCACGAGGTTTTGGAGTTTTCGCGGCTGACGCTCCAAATCTTGTGTTGAACTGTTGGCCCTCATGCCCACCCCCCCCCCCCCCCCCCCCCCCCCCCCTTCCTACATCCTTGCAAGCAAAGAAGTTGAGCTTCAACCTCCTCGATGACCTTCAGGTTTTGGGCTTGGGGGCCCTCGATCACGGAGGTAGCATAAAGGATATTTGTTATATAAATATACATATATACATATCTAGCTATCCGCATGTTCGCAGAAAGTAGTTTCCCCACCGTGCATAAGGGCCGTGTTTGGGGGCACTGATAGGAGTCATCTGCTCAGGATGAGTCGTGCAATTCTGTCGGGCCCACAGCCTAAGCCCTAAGCCCTAAACCCTAAACCCTAAACCCTAAACCCTAAACGCAAACAAATGCCAACCATACCGTAAGAGTCTGGCATTCCTAGGTCCAAAACTTTAGGATTCAGAGTGTGGGAGTACTGGGCGAGGCTGACAGGGCTATATAGTGAATTACAGGGTGAAGGGTTCTAGGGACAAAGCGTAGACGGTGTTTGGGGTTCGGGAGTACTGGCGTATTCTCTCCAATGAAAAGCAGCCAACTGGCCAAGTCCTCCACGACGCGCTACCTTCCGGGATATCGGGAGAGTCCATGTTCACGGTCCGAACTGAACCCGACAATGCTAATGCTTGACGTCACGTTACACTGACAACTGTCCGCAAATTGTGATGCTTGCCGCGAACATACCAATGAGAGCGGACCGAACCCATTTGTGTCGATACCGGTTGCTGGTTGTTCTAAAGAGGTATTTCCAAAAACAATATTGGCGGGGGGGGGGAATGCCGCGTATAAACTAATCCTAGTTCCGGAAACTCCCATGGACGTGCCCCACCCCCAACCTCACCACCATGAGTGCACCATGTTGTTTTCTAGGCCCAAGGTATAAAGCATGCCACGGGAGGTAGCTCTCTGCTCAGTCCTCACACCCGCTACTTGTTAAACGTTTGGGCTTTAGGGCTTGGGTTAACTGAGGTTTAACGTTGAGGACTTGAGCCTTCGCGCAGTTCGAAGGTTGACTTAAAGACTGGGGGATTACAGGAATTTATGAATGTATGAAGCTGCATCAAGGCTCAACAGTGTGCACCGTCATCCTGTTACAACAGATCTGCTCTTATAGTTGCTGGTTTGGGAGCACAATGATATCATGAGAGATGGTATTTGGCAATGCAATTTGTGTGGTTATCTTCCTTGTCCTGGCGAACTTCGGGCTGGGCGTGCGAGTCTGCGTTGTGATCGGCAGCAGTGTAGGGGGCTTGCCTTCACGCCATGAATACACATCATGTCGTCTTCCAACGCGCTCACCCTTTAGTTATAGTCTGCCGTTGTCATGCTTCGGCGACTGCGATGCAGATCTGGGCTTTTGGGCGCGAGTATCTCAAGAGAGAGACCTGGCACTGCGTCCGCTTCCTCGAGCTTTTTCAGCGACTTGAACATGCATCGTCTCATCAAGCATGACTGGAGCAGCAGCAGGGGCTTTCAAATCGAGGTAGCATCTCAGAAGCCAGCAACAGGTCTTCCTGAATGTTGGACCCTCTTTTCTGCGTTGAGACGTGGCAAAGGATGTTGAAGGCGCCCCCCTCACCTGTGGAGCCATTTTGTTGTTCGACACCCCTCCCCCCCGCCCAAGTGTCGTTGGACCCGGCTCAAGCCACCAACTTGTCTTCATAGGGGCCCTCCCGACGACAGAAAGCCTTAAATCCATCTCACTTGACCTGTGCACCTCTCTGATTTCTCAGGGCGTGCGAAGTCTTTGTCCCAATCCCAAACCCAAGTTCCTCCTATTTTACAGAGTCGAGCTCCCGAAGATTCACGCGCTGGGCTTCGGGCCTATCTTAGCCTATCTTGTATCTGTATAGCCTAAATTGAACCGGGGTACCTCCAAGACGTTCAGCAATCTTTTGCCAGCGCAGGGGATGCCGCGGCCCCCACCCATTCCGCGAGCCGTGGTGTCGAGGAGCCACGACTGGCCTTCCGGAAACCCGAAAGGCTTTGGAATGCGTTTTTGGTACCATATGGGGTACATATGTCATGTAGATGTATGGTGAGTATATATATACACACACATGTGCGTGCGTGCGTGCATGCGTGCGTGGGTGTCTGTCTGTCTGTCTGTCTGTCTGTCTGTCTGTCTGTCTGTCTGTCTGTCTGTGTGTCTGTGTGTCTGTGTGTCTGTGTGTCTGGCTCAAGATTTCGGTCCGAGCGGGGAGCATTGCAGCTTTAGGTCTTGTAGATGCGATGGTCGTTCAGCGGCGTTCTTACGTGGTGTGTCGCGACTGCGGCGCATGGCTTTGGTCAGATAGGCTCCACAGCAAGCCCCTTTGCTACTGTGGGAAGCCTTTCGTGGCTGGGGGCCAGCGGAAACACAGCAGAGCGGCATCAGTATGGGGGCGCCCTGTTCAGTCACACCCTTATGACGATTGGTGGCCTACCTTACCATCGCATGGGGCCCCGGAAGAAGGGTCACAGTGGCTCTCCAGCACGAGCCTGATGCTGGTGCAGAATGGCACGCACTCGTGCAGCAAGTCATCCAGAAAGTTGAGCAACTCGCAGGTGACCAGCTTCCAGATTTCCAGGCAGCGATGGCCCCTCTCAAGGACCTCCTTGGCGCGGACCCGCACGCCACGGCAGCAAAGGCCCCGGGCACAGTGGAGCCGGCGCAGCAATTGGCGAAGACGATTAAGGCCAAAGGTGGTGCACTCAGGGCTTTGGGGCAAAAGAAAGCACACTTGGAAGGCAAGATCCAGGCTGCCCGTGCGGCATTGCAGTCGCATGAAAAGCAGCTCCAAACCTTGCAGCGGGAGTTGGAAGAGGCGCAGGAATCCATGGATGAAGCAGTCCAGCAGTACGGCCGCCAAGTCGTGGCCCCTCAGCTCGAACCGTTCGTGCTCGACGAGAACATGGTACCCGCAAGCCAGGAGGACAAGCTCCAGACCTTCTTGGACTCCTTGCAGCCGAACCTCACTCCGGAGCAGCGGCAATGCCTCCAAGCACTTGTCTCCCAAACGGTGTCCTCGGAGCTGGCCCACAAGCGTAGGAAAATGGACGACGAGCTCGAAGTCCCCTACGACCCGGACCAGTACGACGGCGACACGTGGAGAGGGTGACGACTGCAGGAGCGCCGCGTGGACGCGAGTGTTGGGCTGGTACGCACAAGGTCGCCAAGCAGCTGCGTGTGAGCCGCCCGCCAGTTTTTCCGACCAGGCGACAGAACGCTTTCCAGCTGAAGAGGGAGCATGCCCCAGTTTTCCATTTGGCAAGCCGCCCTCTCAGCAACCCTTTTGCAAGCAGGACAGGTCCTCGGGCCGTCAGATCTCGCTTTTCTTTGGCAATATCACCAGTTGGTCGGTGAAGGCCGCCAGTTTTGTCACTCAACAACCGCATGACATAATTCTGTTGGTTGAGCACCATCAGGGCCCCAGTAAGGTGCAGGCGCTCGCAGACACTTTCCAGCAGCATGGCAAGCAGTGCAGAGCTGAAGCAGCAAGAATCAACCCGGAAACTGGCGGCACCCAGGCAGGTGTGGCGGTCGCAGTCAAGCGACACCTCGGCCCTTTTTGGCCGGTAGAGGCGGGCAGTCCTAGATGGACCTACGTCATGATTCGCTTCCATAAGTTTACCCTGACAGTGCTCGTGGCTTATTTCCACGTCCAGGGCTTCAGCCACAGCAGCAACAGGGAGTTGAGGGCGCGCGTAGCAGCGTTCATCAGCACACTCTCAGGGCCATGGCTTCTCCTGGCCGACTTCAACGCCGATCCTGACGAGGTGGCAGCAAGCGGCTACCTGCAGCTAGTGAAAGGCAAGTTGGTTTACCCGCAGCAGGCCACCATCTCCTCAGGAGCAGTTCTTGACTATGCTGTGTGCAGCTTTGAGCTAGAAGGGGTCCTTGCGCTCGAAGTTGTGACAGAGGTCCCCTTCAAGCCACATTTTGGACTCAACCTTCGACTGAGAGGCGACCTAGCGGTCAAACCAGTCCTGACCCTTGACAGCCCTGAGCGTATTCCCATTTTGCCAGGTCCTCGGCTGCCCTGGCACACTTTTGCCGTAGCTGAAGGTGCAGCTGCGGTCGAGTTGCCCGGGCTCCACGACGAGCCCTCGACCATGATGCGCAAATTTGCCAGTTGGAGCGCTCAAGCAGAAGCTTACCTGCAGTCTGTGCTCACGGATGTGGGTGTTTCAGGCAGAGGAAGGCGTATCGTGCTGGTCTCTAAGCCAAGAGTCCAGCCAGAACCCCCTGCAGCCGTGTGGGACAGCAGTGGGCTCAACTTTTGGTCCACCCTTCGGCGATTGGTCGATGATGCTCTGCGGCTCCGCTCTCAGCCCGGTCTGCAGCAAACCCTGTTTCAGCAGGCAGCCCTCAAAGCTTCAGCCAGCGAGCAATTCTGGGATGTCTCGGCCAAGGAGGAGTTCAGCTTGCCAGCTTTTCAGTACGGCCTTAAGGTCTTAGCGGTCAGCAACGAAGGCTTGCAGCAGAAGGTGCTGAGCAGCATACAGGGGCAGCGTCAGAAGCAGTACAAAACACGCACGGAGGCGCTCAAAAACCACTTTCTGGCCAATACGGCTACTATCAAGCAAATGCACCACCACCTGAAGAAGCAAGCCCAAGCGCAGTTGCGGCCTTTCACGGCCAAGCCGCTTGAGGAGCGCGCCCAGTGCCGACGGAATTTCTGGGTCGGCATTTGGGGGGAGCAGTCGCCAGAGGGCAGGATGCAGCAGCAAGAGAAGCTGCGCAGTTTCGCAACCGCAGCCAAGGGCCAGCAGCTTTCCCTCAAACCAATCTCCACCGCGCAGATCAAGGAGACCCTCAAAAGTGTGGGGCGGAAAGCCAGTGGGCCCGACGGATGGAGTTTTGCTGACTTGGCCCGCCTCCCTGACGAAGCCCTTTCGGGGTTGGTCTACTTCTTGCAGACAGCAGAGCAGCAGCAGCAGCAGCAGTGGCCGGAGAGCACCTGTCACGTTGCTGTGGCACTGCTCGCCAAAACAGTCAGAGCAGAAAGGCCGATCTCTTTGACGAGCGTCATTTACAGGCTGTATATGGCAATGAGGCAACACCTCCTGGCACGATGGCTAGAAGAAGTAAATCCCAAAAGTCCGTGGGACAAGGCAGTGAAAGGCTGTGACACCTTCGCTTCCTCTCACCGCCGGCAGCTTCTGGCGGAAATTCTGTGTCACACAGGAGTCCATCAGGTGAGCCTCCTAGTGGACCTCCAAAACGCCTATGACAGAATCGACCGCGTGCAGTTAATGGAGGATGCTTCAGAGCTCGGCTACCCTCCGCTGCTCATGGTCATGGCCGCGGACCGCGCATTCTGCTGGCAGAGTCCATGGCCAGTGAAGCTATCGAGCCAAAACACAGCATCTTGGCTGGTTGCCCGCTGTCGGTATCGCTGTGTAAGCTTTACCTTTGGCGGCCGTTTGAAAATGTCTTGACCAAGCACGCCCCAGCCCAGGCTTCCACCTTTGTCGACGACATCAGCTTTGACCTTCACGGTAGCCAAGAGCTGGAGCTAGCGCGCAGAGCCCTGAGGCTATACTCTCAGCTTCACGGTGAGCTCAGCAAGAAAAACATGCTCATCAGTGAAGGCAAGACTGGCTTCCTGGTCTCGAGTAAATTGGTCAAGCGCGCCTTCGATACAGTTCGCAAAGAACCAGAGTTCTGCAGCCAACAGTTTCCCCCAGTCAGGGACGCCATGAAGGACCTCGGAGTTGATGTCACCCTGGGGCGCAGGCGTCGTACCACGGTCCAACAGAGCCGTTTGCACAAGGGGCTGCAGCGTGCTTCAAGGCTGAAAGACCTTCCGCGCACTAAGCGCGCGGCTTTGGTGCGCAGCAACGTCTACCCCACAGCCCTTTGGGGAGAGCCGTTCGAGCACGTGAAATGAGCGAGTTTAGGGGTGCTTTTACGCGGACCCAAAAGCATCAGCTGGGTTTTTGAGCCGCGGGCCCGAAGGCCTCACGAAGCCACATGAGATGCGATAGCTCGATGATGTCCCCGAACCATCAGCAGACCCCCCCCCCCGCGCCCCCGGACATGGGTTTCGATGATGCTCACTTTGGAGGCGGGACAAGGGGGTCGGACCCGGAGGCGTGCGTGAAAAACCTCATGAAAACACGGTATTTGCAGCGATTTCAGCGTTTTTCAGCGTTTTTTACTGCCTTGAGGCCGCGGGCCGAAGCTGCTGATGCTCATGATGCTCCTCTGGTTTTGGGCTTCCGCTGCCCCAAACCTTGAAAAATGTGGCTTCGGCCTTGAAAAAGCTAGGGTTAATGATGTGGGCGTGTGCTGGAGCCCCTTTAAATTCACTCATCCACAGCACCCAACGCAGCAGAGGCATTACACTGGTGTGTGGAGCGCTCCACAGCAGGCATAAGGGTGGTGGGAGCCCCATTTTGGGGGGCAAGCATTTAGTGAGGACGTTGTGGTTTGGGTCTGCGCTGAAGCGGCTGCAGCCTTCTAAATCTAAATCTATATCTGGTACGGGTTGGTGGGGAGGGCGGGGGATGTGCGCTGGGGGGGAGCGGGCTGGCGAAGCGGCGCGAGTTAGTGGAGGAGAACATGGGTCTTCACTGACGCCGCCCCCGCTTGGGGTCGGCGGATACGTATGCAGGTATGTACAGATCTGGATGTTTATGGTTTCTTTATGGTATAGTTGTATGGTACATGGTAGCGAGTTTCGGGGTCTTCAGGTTTTGGGCGGCTGAAGGTTTCAAATGTTGAAAAACTCAGATTCGACAAACCTGCGGCCAGCTTTGCTGGACTCCTCTCTTGCGAGACCAGGAATTGCTGTCCTCAGCCGAGCTGTGAACTCAGATCATTGAAGGTTTAGGGTTTAGGGTTTAGGGTTTAGGGTTTAGGGTTTAGGGTTTAGGGTACGTACAGTACGGACGTCGTGAAGATGACGATGGCATCGGAGTCCACCGATTGGCTTTTCAGCGACATGCATGGTCTAAGTAAGGTGATGCCAGCACTTTGGAGCGGGCGGCGCGCCAGATGTTTGTTAGAGTTGACCTGTCAAGACCGGTCCTGCAACAAGGTCCGTTTGGGGCAGAACTTGTTCAGCAACCTCCTTGGAACCGTCGCACTGGGTCAGGCCGCGCGTTGCTCAGGATTTCTCGCTTCGGCGGTCCATCTTTTCTCACTCTTTGTGCAGGGCCTTAGACACGGATCGCAGAGGCCCCTCCCAGCATCCTTTCCTAAACCCTAAGCACATACTTAACACTGAAGTTGGTGTCCACTTAGAAGTTGAAAGGCTGAGCCCGGCCCTCACAGGCGAACAAAGAGCCCTAAGCCGCCCTAGGCCCTGAACCCCCCCAAAACCATAAAACCGCAAAGCATCCGAGCCACTCCTTACAAGGGCGCCGGCGCCCGGCGCCCTCAGCAGAGGTCGTTTTTTTTTTTTTTTTTTGGGGGGGGGGGGGGGTTGCTTCAGTTGAGCCACTGCGGCCTCAGGGAGGATCAGGGCAGCGGAGAGGTTTCTAAGCCCCTGAACCCCCTGATTCCCTAAACCAGCCTGTGGAGAGCCCTGTTGGTGTCAGGTTCAGGGTTTAGGGTTTATTTAGGGTTTATTTAGGGTTTATTTGGGGTTTAGGGTTACACCATGTGGCACTGATTGAGATATGCGCGGCTGTAATCCCTTGTCAGGCCACAGGCCTACCCCAAACAACTTCAGGTTGGACCCCAAACCCCCAAACCCCAAACCCCATACCCCAAACCCTAAGCATCCCCATCCCCAAACCCCAAACCCCAAACCCTAAGCATCCCCATCCCTAAACCCTAAACCCCAAACCCCAAACCCCAAACCCCAAACCCCAAACCCCAAACCCCAAACCCTAACTATCCCCATCCCTAAACCCCCCAAAGCCCTACACCTCAAAAGGCGGTGCAGGCCGCCGAGGCCGCCGTGGAGAGTGCCGCGGCGAGGCGCGGAGGGAGAACCAAACGTGGCGGCGTCTGCTTCGTCAGCTTTTTTGGAGTTTATGTGGTTTAGGGTTTAGGGTTTAGGGATGTTCCCCCTTATATTAAGCGTCCTTCATAGGGATTATAGTACCCCCCCCCCCCCATTCTAATCTCTACTAGGACTATTAGTGCAAGGGGGAGCATCCCAAGCTTAGTGGGGGCTTCTAACCTCAAAGGACGAAAGGAGGGACCTTAGGGGTTGTTTAGGTACTTATGGGCTATATAAGGTAGAAATAGGGTTGATACATGGGTTAGTAAGGGGAATAAGATAAAGGTACCTTATTGGGGGCCTGATTATCAGGGAATCCTACCCTCATTTTCGTAATCCCCCTTATGGGAGTTTGCAAACAAAGGATGGAAACACATCGTACCCCTGAGCCCGCTCTGGGCAACTTGTCGAAAGTTGCGCCAAGACAAAGCTGGAAGCAAATCGTACCCCGGAGTCTGCTCTGAACAACTGGTCCGGCTTTCACCAGGCAAAGCTGGAAACAAATCGTGCGGCTGAGTCTTCTCAGGGCAACTTGTCCAGCCTGCACCAGACAAAGCTGGAAATAAATCGTACCCCTGAGTCTTCTCTGGGAAAGTCAAATGCATATCGTATCCCTGAGTTTGCTCTGGTCAACTTGCCAAGAATGCACCAGGCAAAGCTAAAGCAACAAATCTTCCCCCCAAATCTGCTCTGCGCAACTTGCCAAGCATGCACCAGAAAAATTGCAAGAACTTCACAGTTTGTGAAGTGGCTCCTTCCCTCCTCTTCGCCAAGCAAGAAGAACTCGCCAGTGACTCCTTTGGATGTCCTACTGTCCCCCACACCCTAAACCCCAATTACGAATTATCCCTAAACCCCAAGCCCTGCGCTCAAAGCCCCAAAAGCCATTGGCTTCCTTACGCGCCTTTTGGGCGGAACACAAAGCAAATCCTGCTTCCTTACGAGACCAACTGGGTAGGACACTATCTGCCGGACACGACAGCAAATCCTGCTTCCTCACAAAACCTACTCGGCGGGATAGTAGAGCAAATCCGCGGGACACTAAAGCCAAAACTTGCTTTGCCACGAGACCTGCTTCCTTGCGCGACCTCTTGGGTGGGACACTAAAGCAAATCCTGCTTACGAGACTTACTTCCTCACAAGATTATATTGGGTGGGACACCAAAAAGCATGTCCTGCTTCCGTACGACGTCTATTGCGTGGGACACTAATTCTGGTCCCTCTTGTGCTGAGAGGTGCATTCTGCTTCCAGCATTGCCTGGTGCATATTTGACAAGTTGCCCAAAGCAGACTCAGGGAACGATTCCTTACAGCTTTTTGTGGTGCAGTTTTGCAACCCCCAACCCGCACCCCTAAACCCCAAAAAAATCCAGATCCTTAACCCTAAACCCTAAACCCAACCCTAAACCCTAAACCCTAAACCCTAAACCCTAAACCCTAAACCCTAAACCCTAAACCCTAAACCCTAAACCCTAAACCCTAAACCCTAAACCCTCACCAGCCCAAAAGCCTCGAACCCCGAGCCGCCAAGCTTCTCGCCAAAAGCCAGGGCCGCTGCGTGGCGGCCGTGGACGCCACCGACCCCGCCGCCCAGCTCCCAGTCTGGGGGCTAAACAAGAGGGGTTTAGGGTTTAGGGTTTAGGGTTTAGGGTTTAGGGTTAGGGTTTAGGGTTGTATAAGGCTGCTTATTGAGGTCTTTTGACATTGAAGGCGTTTAAGAGTTTACAGAGGGTTCAAGGTTAAGGCTATGGAGGCTTTTAGGGCTACGAAGGTGTCTCGGAGACTAAGCCGTGCATGTCGCAGCATGAGCTTCCACACTAAAGCAGTTGTGATTTAGGGTTTAGGGTTTAGGGTTTAGGGTTTCGGGTTTAGGGTTTAGGGTTTAGGGACTTGCTTGGCCACAGCGAGGATGCTTCGAGGACAGTAGCTCTTAGTACGGAGCATGCCTTTTCGGGGGAGTTCAGGGCTTTTGCGGGTCATAGGGTTGAGGGTTTAGGGTTTCGGGTTTAGGGTTTAGGGTTTCGGGTTTCGGGTTTGGGTTGTAGGTGTTTGGGTGTTTGGAAGCAACCTTCATCCCAAGCCCCAGCACCAAGGCAGCTGACGCCGACACCCGTGCCGAATGCGGCAGCCGCGCAGGCCGTGACGCTGGGAGTTGCAAGGTGGCGTGTGGTTTGGGGGCTTCTACAGGACCCTGAATCAGAAGCCCTAAGCCCTAAACCACAGAATGGGCTGCTTCGCAGCAGTTCTTCCTTGCGAAACCTGGCTTGCAACTGCAAGCGCTTCGGGCTGAGGGATGCTTAGGGGCTTTGAGTTTCTCGGCAAATGTCTTAGGGTAGCTACACGGGCCCTTTAACAGGGGACCCCTTATATACCCTATACAACTCAGGGGCCCGCCCATACATCCGAACCCTTTAAAGAAGGTAGGGGACCAGATTAAGGGACAATGTAATCACCCTTAGAAGCTGAAAACTCGCTTCGACCCGGATCAGCCCTCAAGAGCATCCTTTCCCCGCCGAGTGTCATCTGCACGCAGCTGCTTTTCAAAGAGCTGAAGGCCATCTATACTGAATCTAAGCACCACCTGGGCTGTTCGCAGGCTGAGGCTGTGCCGACAAGGTCCTCCTCAAGCTTTCAGGACCGGATGCTCTGTCTTGGAGGTTTTTTCAAGAAGAGCACCCTGATGGATCTGCTTGAGGGCTTTGCAAGCATCCAGTGCCCCAAACGCCTTGTTCGAAGGCGCGAGCTTCGGTGCAGGCTGGCTGCGTCTTAATCTCATGTACTAGAAGCTAAGATTCCAATGGACATGGTACATGTCTTCTGCCTCCACAAGATTCACGAGATTGCGAAGTTGACTTGGTAAGTTGAAGTTAGGCGTTCCTTCGCTTCAGAGCGAGAGGCAGCTTACATATTGAGACGAAGCAGGGTTTATATTTCTGATATTGGTGAGTGTATTTACCTGGTGTCCTTTTGGGGGTACAAGAAATATAAACCCTACTTCAGATGTAGGTGAGCTGGTTTCGTTCATGCACTTCCGTTCCCTGGAGGGCCGACCTTTGAGTGGCAGCTCGATCAGCATCTGAGCAGTATTTGCACCCGCCAATACTTTCGGGTTAGGGCTTAGGGCTTAGGGCTTAGGGTTTAGGGTTGGTACCAGCATTTTTATCTGATCGTCGCTCCGCATTTCCCGTTTTCCGCGACGCACGGAAGCTGTCTTAGGCAGCCATTCCCCCCCGAAGTCCTTGTGGACCCAGCAGATCTATGCAGGCAGCAATGTAGGCTATACCCCAAGCTCATTTGCTGTGCCTTGCGTGGGCAGTCGCCTTACACGCCGGACGTAGCTACAAATCTGATGCCTCCACTTTCAAGATTCTTTCAAGGTTGCTCTCAGCCATTTTCCGAGGTCGGTCCTGGTTGCGGAGTTTATCTTCCCAACCTGGCAGCCCTGTCGTCACAGCAGCAGCTGTGATGCAAAGCGGGGGGGGGGGGGGGGGGGGGGGATGTTTCGGATGAGGAGTGCGACTTTCCAGGAAGGTTGCCACATTGCCTGCCCGATTTGTCGCTTCCTCCTTTGTGGGAGCGCTCAGAGCCTGAGCTGCTCGATCCGCAGCTTTCCGGTGCAAGTACGTAGCCCGAAGTTTCATGCTAAGTTTCGGAGCAGGTAGAGCATGATGAAGCCAAGCACACACAGCCCCCTCACAACAAGCAAAGATGCTTACTCCAAGCGGTTCATGTCTGCCTTCGGGGGCTTTACCGAGTCGCAGATGTACAGAATGCCATGCTACCCTAAACCCCAAAGCCTAAACCCCAAACCCTAACCCACCCACCCCCCCCCCCCCCAAAAAAAAAAAAAGAAGCCCAGGGACAGAAGTCCAAGCCCGGGCTGGATCAGTGGCAAGCATCACGACACAAAATGACCCAACAAAAAAAAGAAACGTTGCAGCTCCTCGAAGCCTGAGCATCAGAACCGTCCCCTTGCAGTCGATAGGTCCGATAGGCTCCTGGGCATTCCAAGCTGGCTGTCTCATGCCACACTCTTCCACGAGAAGCCAAGTCGTAGGGTGTCCGTGTTCAAAAGTCCCGAAACCCCCAGCCCTAAGCCCTAAACCCTAAACCCTAAACCCTAAACCCTAAACCCTAAACCCTTCAGGATTTGGCGCAGACTCTGAAGTCCACCTTTGACAGCAAGGCACGGGCCCAGTGCTCTCGGGACTGGGAACCTAAGTACTCAAAGCTCGTTTAGGGTTTAGGGTTTAGGGTTTAGGGTTTAGGGTTTAGGGTTTAGGGTTTAGGGTTTAGGGTTTAGGGTTTAGGGTTTAGGGTTTAGGGTTTAGGGTTTAGGCCTTCTGGCACAGGCTGCTGCACATAGCTTTGGATAGTGCAAACCCATACTGGCCTTGGTGAAGATGTTGTGGGATGTTCCCCCTTAGACTAACAACTCCTGAATAGGAGATCATAGGTGCATTATTATAACTCTTAAGGACTGTTAGTATAAGGGGGAACATCCCAAAAGATGATGATCATGGCCAGAATGATGGCGCCGCGCGGGGATACTGCACATCGCAGCTAGTAGAGCATCTGGCTCGGTTCGGGGAGGTTTAGGGTTTAGGGTTCAGGGTTCATGCAGATTCTTCGTCTCCTGCGCTCTTGGCAGGTCTTCGGCACGAGGCAGCTCGACGAGAGCCTCCCCGGCAATTGAGGCAAACATGTCAAGTGGGGACTACGAAGCTCCGGCGCTGCGTCTGTTGTAGTTGGCGAATATACTTGCATCCTGCAAATGGCTGCCGATCTCCGCCTGCGTGTGCGTGTGTCACCCTCCATCATGCGTGTTTAAGAAGCCGACAACACCCTAATAATATGCTCACTTCTAGTTCGAGTATGTGGGATCCGTATGGGACAAAAGTTGAGTGCTCGCACCAATCCGAGGACTCATGGGGAGGGATCTATCCCGCGCTGGAAGCTGCACAGTTACTTGATGTGAGCTCAGACGGTGTTGCGACAGATCAGACCCTCCCAACAACTTCAATGGCCAGGATTCAAAGAGGAACTTAAGATGTAGGCTCCGCCAAAGATTTTGCTTGCCCTTGACTGTTTGCAGACACCCTCAGTCTCTGGCCAACCTCCGAAGTACTGCGCAACCCACGTGGCTTGATGCCTCCAAGCTTTGGGAATCTGCGTCTTCCCTGGACTTGTTGGGCAGCCTTTTCGCATGAAAGCACTGCTGCTAAGAACTAGCCCGGGAGATGAACATGACCGTGGAAAGCGTCATTGTTGCCAAGGACCCTCATAAAACGCAGCAAGTTGAGCAGCTTGTAACGCGTGGGCGGCAGATCTTGGTGGGTGTTGCTGCTGAAGTGCCGAGGGTGCTCAGCACCTCCTGTTCCACCCTTTACACCTTAGCCCTAAACCCTAAACCCTAAACCCTCTACCAACATAGCAAGTCTTTGGCACCAACTGGGCAAGGAGATCTTTGACGACCACGACCTGGATGACTCGGGCATGCTTAGCCTCGAGGAGATTGCCAAGGTGATCGAAACTCTTATGGATTCTTGGCCTCTGACTTAGGGTTTAGGGTTTCGGGTTGAGGGTTTAGGGTGGAGGGTTTAGGGTTTGGGGTTTAGGGTTTAGGGTTTAGGGTGTAGGCTCGGGCACTCGTGGGGCAAAGAACCATGGGGAAGCCCATGCCATACACTATGGTCCGGTCCGGAATATCCCGGAGCCCCAGAGGAAGAGTCAAGAAGCGGAAGATTCGAAGGCCTGCCCTACGGCCCGAAGGTTCTAGGCCTGAGGCCGCTCAGCCCTCACAACTCAAGGCCTGAAGCCAGGGGCCCCTCAAATCTGGCTTTGCCTTTTTTCTCTCAGAAAACTCTTTGAGATAAAGACGAAAAACTAGACGTGCCATGCCAACAGCCCATGATGACCCAAAGAGCATGTCGGGGGGAGCCGAGGAAGCCCAAGTCGCGGACCAGGAGTGTGTGAAGTACCGCATCGAATCTGGGCAGACAAAGCGGCAGCCAGGCTGCAAAAAAAAAACAAACCCTAAACCCTAAACCCTAAACCGCAAACCAAGGCGGCGGAAGCTTTGTCCGGGCTTTCAGAGGATCAGCGACTAGAAGTGGGGGTTTACGAACATAGGGGAACCCCAATCAGAATCCCGAAATAGTAGGATCCCCTTCTAATGAGGACCCCAATAGGGTACCCCTAAACCCGAAACCCTAAACCCTAAACCCTAAACCCTAAACCCTAAACCCTAAACCCCCTAACTTCGTCAACTCCCAAGTGTAAGCGATCTTGCATCAGGCTGCTCAACTACTGGCTCAAGTGCCTTGGCATGGAGAGCCCCACACCTCCCACAAAACGTACTATTCGCGGGTTTAGGGTTTAGGGTTTAGGGTTTAGGGTTTAGGGTTTAGGGTTTAGGGTTTAGGGTTTAGGGTTTAGGGTTTAGGGTTTAGGGTTTAGGCACCCCCAAAGGATGAAGAGTTGATAATCCCTATATTCCCCATACCCGGAAGAACATTTTTCATTTTTTTTTTTTGGGGGGGGGGGGGGGGGGGGTTCTTAAGCAACTAGTATAGACCCTTGACCTGCTGGGTCGGAGAGAGGCTACTTGTGACCATGCCCCAAGCCTTGGATCTCACAGCAGCTTGGGATGGGTCGAGCACCTAGCCCACAATGAATGACCTCTTGCAGCAGTTTACTTGCTTGGGACTTATCCTTGTTCAGTTCGGTATGAAGACGTAGGCAAGCAAGATTGTGGCAAGGAGGCATGCGTGGTTGCGTCCTTGCTCCGAAAATGCTTCCACGCTGAGGTTTGCCCCCGAAGGGGTGTTCGAACTAGACTTTGAGAGCTTCCTGCTGTGGTATTCGCAGGGGGCCAAGTTTCTCGGGGGTCTGCAACCACAAGGGCGAGGTTTTTCTGAGGACTCCGTGGCCACCTACCTGTAGTTGGGCAGAGCATAGGGCATTTGACCTGCGATGTTTCACAAAGGTGCCAGAGCCCAAAGAAGACCTTGGATTCAGGTGCACTGGCTTTTTGACTGACCTGATGGTCGACGACAAGGCCACTCCTGAACCATTGGCTGGTCTTGGGGGTTTAGGTGGTTTAAGTTTAAGGTTTAAGGTTTAGGGTTTAGGGTTTAGGGTTTAGGGTTTAGGGTTTAGGGTTTAGGGGGCTTCTTCCTCCTTCTCGACCAAGCACTGCATCATTGAGCCAAGGGGATTGCTTTTTTTGAAGCCTTGTGAGATTCTCGGGCTGGTAGCCTTTAAAAGCAGGGGCGCCTCCTCCTCCGCCATAGATCCCCAAAGCCCAGGGGGCCAGTTGAACTTTCAGCCTTGGGGAAAAGTCAGCAGCTAGAAGGGTTTCTCGTATTACAGGACAACAGTTGCATTGGGCAACACGTTCATCATCCATAACGATCGTCTTAGGGACGGCCAGTGGTAGCATGCAGCAGCAAGCAAGAAGTTCACCAACCAGGCTTGACCCACATGAAGTTGTTTTCCCGAAGTTTGGAGTTGCGATGGCTTACACTTCGAGGGGATGGCAGCTGCCTGTCTTTGGCGCCCGCTTTTGGGTCTGATCCTGTTGCTGTCTCTGGGCCTGATCGCTAAGGGAGGCCCTTGGCTCCGTGTTGGGCTCGCCGCGCTTCCTTTGCTGGCCTTGGCCTTGGCCGTTGCGCAGAGAGCACTGCTGAGAAGCCGCGCCGCGAGCGCGCGGAGCGGGCGGAGCGCGCGGAAGCCCAGCGGCTCCGTGGTCAAGCGGCGTAAGCGCGTGCTCTTCAACAGGCGGGTCGGCTGCATGGCTGTGCCGAACTATCTGGAGCTGGATGAGCCTGAGAAGGCCGCGATTTGGTGGATGGAGCATGACTATGCAAAGTTTCGAGAGGCCGCAGCAGTCATGAAGAGGGCTTACAAGGCTGCCGCAAGGAGCCTGGGTGTTGGGATGCCCAGCGTCTGCAGCGCGGGGTCTCATGCCAAGAGGGCCTACGAGGCAATGGTCGAGGCCCATCCCAGCCTCAAAAACGAGTCCCGACGGGGCATTGGCTTGGGTCGAAATTTTAAGAAGCGCAAAGCCGCCTACATCTCCGCGGTCGTCCAGGAGCAGCGGCGCCAGCGTGAGGCCAACATGCGAGACGAAGACGCCTTAGCCTGTGCAGCCATGCGAGTCTCAAAGAAGGACCGTACCTCAAAGTCTGTGTCTCTCTCGCTCTTTCTCTCTCTCTTTCTCGCTCTGTCTCTCTTTCTCTCGTTCGCTCTCTCTCGCTCTTTTTCGGGGGTGGCCTTTGTTTTGGGGAGTGTAATCATTTAGTCATGCATGGTTGAAGGGTGCGTATAGGGGAACAGTCTCAAAGAAGGACCACAACTATGCCCATGCCCTGGCCAAGATGCACTTCGAACAAACCACGGCAGATGAAGCGGGCACGGCCGTCAATTCTGATGTGACCACGGCTGTGTTTAACATGATCCGCGATGGGGGTGGACGAGGTGGACCCAGGGAAGTTGCCGCTGATGAGGAGTCGAAATCATCCAGGAACAAAGACCTGCAAAACTACACAGAGGAGGACATCAACTGGTCCGAAACTTCGAAGCCAGTGCTGTTTGCTAAAGGCTTCGGTCAATCCAAAGACCAGCTCAAGGAAGTCGGCCTCAGTGTCACTGGCCACGCTTTGAGGCGCTCGAGACTCGCCAACCCCAAGGACATGGGACTGAGCAGTGCTGACATCAGCAGCGCTGAGTGCAGCAGCGACGAGTTGAGCAGCGTTGAGTCCAGTGGCGCTGAGAGTGATGTTGCTGGCAGTGATCGTGACTGAGCATCTTGTTGCCAAATCGTGTTTCGGAGGTCGCAGCTCGTTTGAAAGCCTGCGATACCTCACGTAGCACCCTTCTGGAATGCCCCCAATTGAAAGCGTGACGCTTGTCTGGCAACGAAAATTGCCGGACTCGAGCCGCTGCTTGTCAGCAACAGGCAAAGAAGCCCAAACGTACAGGCTACCCGTAGGCCTACCCGTGGAGCCTACGGTAGCCTACCCGTAGGGCCCTGAGTAGCCTACCGGAGGCTTGTCGGCCTGCTGGTAGGCTACCCACAGGCAGGCCTACTGGCAGGCTACCCACAGACCTACCCGTAGGCCCACGAGTAGCCGGTAGGCTACCCACCACTCCCACAGGCCTAGGGTTGTATTCTTCGCAGTAACCCGAAACCTTAAACCTCAGCCAAAAAGAGCTCTTGGCTGAGGTTTAGGGCTTCGGGGTACTACGGAGCTGCGCAATTATAATGATTGTGTTTGGGCGTGAACGAACGAATTCATGCACTCACTACGCTCATTGCTCATTTAGTTCTATTCGTTCACTTCACTTCTTAACTATTATGTTCACGCTTACTCACTTCATTCATGCGCTAAAAATTGATAATACCAAGTGATTTGATTTACTGGAACTGTAAGGAAATGAAGCGTACGCACGAAATCCATTAAACTACGAACGAATTAGGGGTTCTAAAGGGGCGACACAAAAGGTATTAGAAAATTAACCCCTGTATTGCTCGTACTTCTAATGTTTACTGGTGATGGAGAAAACGCCACATGCAAAGATATTGTAATTAGGGCTTTTCATCACCAGTGAACACCATGAACACACTCTGGATACAATACTTAGTTTATTACTATTACCTCGCGGGCGAAGAGAAGAAAGAAATGAGCCCGCGAACAAAAGCCCAAATTTCTGATACAAACTCACACGTCATAAATTCCTTGTCAGTTTATATGTCAGATATTGAATTGTCTTTTAGTAGTAACAAAGGGGCCAATAATAATGGTACTTTGGGACCCCTTTTAAACCCCTAATTATAGTCTTATTATTGTCCCCGCGTATCCGTATAGTTTTATTAACGCGGGATAGAATGAAAACAGAGAAAGATATGAAGAGAGTGAACTGAAGACGTGCACGCATGAATAGCTATTATAAGTGCGCGAGTGAACAAGGGAACGAGATGAGAACAATATTATGAAAATAATAGCTGGTTTCGTTCATATCATTAATTAGTGCCGTGCTTCAATTCACTTTGTTCTTTCCTGACGCGCGAATTAATAATATTCTCTTCACAGTTGTACTTGTAAGGAACAAAGCGACGAATGAATTACAACGAGGAAGAGAACAAAGACGCGAGCGAATTATAAAAGACTTATTGCGCATGCCAATTATAATTAACTTATAGCGTACGAAAAAGCCCACAATTGAATACTGAATTGTTGAATTATTGAATTATAAGCGTCTTGTGCGCATGAAATTCATATATTAAATTGGGGCTTTCTTACACGGGCTGATAATATTACGGTTCGTGCGCCCGTGTGTTAATAGTAATAATAAGCCCTGGAAAGATAGGAAGCTGTGAGAACAACCTTAACTTTGAGACAGGATTTCGGAAGAGGAAATCATATGTGACCGCTAGAAAGAACTGGGTGATGAATCCCAGTGCCAGGGAAGGACCCTTGAGAATGAGGTTATTACTAGTACTGACAGGTAATGTCCCAGCACAAGATATGAGAGTGAGGGTCTCAGAGTTAGGGTCTCAAGGTGCGACAGGGAGAGAGCGGTGAACCTTTACTTTTCCTTTCGTACCCCATCAATCTCATGACGCCTGAACTCCTTGTCTCAAGGACCCAACATCTGAATCTCAAGGAAATCCACGGTTGGTATTAAGCATGGGTCTTATGGTGAGGATAACAAGTGAGTGAAAAGAAGTGAATAAGAAGGGAGAAAAGACAAGGAGAGAACGCAGTGAAAGACGCGTGCTTTTGTCCGGTTCATTCGCTTCGTCCTAAGCTCTAAACCCTAAACCCTAAACCCAAACCCTAAACCCTACACCCTACACCCTAAACTCTAAACCCTAAACCCTAACCCCCCCCAAAGAGGATACCCCTTTTTTCGGAAACCCCATTTCCCCAACTGTGCCGCAGGAGATGCGCCTACGGCTTCTTGCCAAGACCAATGACCTGGATGCCCTCTGCATGGACAGAGTCAGGCCTCCCTTCAACCCGAAACCCTAAGGGTTTAGGGTTTAGGGTTTAGGGTTTAGGGTTTAGGGTTTAGTTTTTAGGGTTTAGGGTTGAGGGTTTAGGGTTTAGTTTAGGGTTGAGGGTTTAGGGTTTACACCCTAAACCCGAAACCCTAAACTCATGGCACGACTGGGGGATGATATGCCAGCCAAGAATCAGGCTCTTGGTCCCAGGGCCCCGATTCTGTCGGACCCAACAATGTAGTGGCCCTTCATGTCCTGCACGCTGTGGCAATTTGTTTTTGACTTCCGACATCCCCACCCGACAACCAACTGGCGCTCCAGGGATACTCTGTGGGGTGGGCGCTCTTGAGATTCTTGGGGGATGGGGTGCGCACTCCAGGGACGCGGTGCTTTGCAGGATTTTTCGGGAGGTGGGCACTCAAGAGGTACCTTTCTCCTGGGTCGGGCACGCCAAGGATACTCTGCGGGATGTTCTGTGGGATTAATTGGGGCGGGCGCTTATGGATTTTTGCAGATGTGGCCGGGCAAGGAGAATACTCGTTTCAATAGCCCCGCACCAGGTTGGGGAACAAGACTGGGCTTCAATGATACTTGGAGGTTCAGGGTACTTATTCACCAATTATAACTGCACTTGTAACTGTACTTAGAACCATACTGGGGCACTTCAGGGGCTTCTAAGTGGGAAAGAAGTACAGCTATAGTGGGTTAATAAGTACCATGAACCTCCAAGTATGCCCCGGTTCTTCATCCTCCCGCACTAGATGAAGCTTCAGAGATGCAAAAACACACCAGTTCGCATCCAGCGTCCATCTAACAGTCCCTCACCAAACCCTCTGCCCCTCTTTTTTTGTGTTGCAAGTCTAGATGCATGTCTCCGCTTGTCGTGGACGCAGGAAGTCCTTCACTTCCATCGATGTGGACGGATCCGGAGAGGTGTCGACGTCCAGTTTAGTTTGGCATCCCACACACTGCTGCATGGTGGCTGTGGTACCATCTGTCGTTGCCACGATCCTGTTTTCTGGCGTGGACAAACCGGCGCGAAAGATATCCACACATCGAGTTCAGTCCAGTCTCCGACTCTGAGAATTAGAACGCATGCATCTCAATTTGCTTCAACAAGTTCGCGACAGGTCGATATCCATGAGTTCGAGAACGTTCTGCGTGAGGCTGCCGCGTCTGCCAATTTGCTGAAGTGATGCAACATGCTTCGATCCGAAAGTGAGAGTGACATCGGGCACTGGGCTCCACCAGGCTCCTCTGTCATCCTAAAGGACTGGTACTCTAGGGAAGTTCGTGCTCGCAGGTCATGAAAGTTCCGCCACACCTCGACATACCAGAGTCCCGTATCCGTTGGGATCTCGATGCTGAGGGGCAAAGGTTCGGGAAGGATCCGCTGAGGCTGCATCTTCGAGTTAGACCGGTTGGGCAGAGATACGTGAGCATACACAGGCTGGAAGATCCAAGTCGAGGTGATACGTGTAGCATATAGAGGTCACCGGATGGCAGACAGTTGCACGTGCTCAAACAACACTCTGAACTCTAAACTGCCAATGCTATTGGGTGGAATTCTTTCCGACGGTCGCAAATGAGAATCTTACCATCCAGGCTTCTTCTGGCAGGAGATTGACGTGGACGGATCTGGCAAGGCCTTCCAACAACCTTGGGTACGTCACCAGGAGATCGCAATCTCAAGATGGATTGCAAGAGGAGAAACCCTAAACCCGAGAAACCGTAGCTATCGCAACTTCGCTTCCCGCCAGGCTGGCTTTGATGAGTTCCTCAACTTCTGGCAAGACTGGCATGGTTGGGTAGTTGACGTGTCTGGTCTGTCCGGGACACTCTTTTCAGGGACCTTGTCAAGGTTATTCAGAGGGTATATAAAGGGGGTACATAGGGGAATAAGATTAAGGGTCCCTTCCAGGGGTCCCTCCTTATACTCCTTAGTACAGAGCAGATCCAAGCAGGTCTTTCTCAAGCGCAACAGTCTAAAGCCTAAACCGAAAATTTCGATCTTCCCAAACAGGCTGCAGCAGTTCGGCGGGCGCGGAAACCCAGAGTGCCAATACTGATACCCTTTGAGTGGTTTGTGGTTTAGGGTTTAGGGTTTAGGGTTTGGGTTTGGAGACCATGGGATTACAACCCCGTGCGTGTATGTTTGCTTTGAGGAAAGCAAAGCATGGTGCGTGTGCACGTGCCTGGTGGTCACTCCAGTGACTGTTGGCCCCGGTGCCAGCATAGGAGGGAGGCTCTTAGAGCCCTCAGAACTGAGGTCCTCCTCCAGCAAGAAAGGCCAGACGATATCGTTGCCTGGCGGCAGCAGTAAGTACTTCTGCCTGCATAGATCTGATCTGACGGGCTCGCGAAGAGTCGGAGCCAACTGGGACCTTGTGTTAGACACGTGTCCTTTCTAGCGCCTTCCCCCATTATACTCACTAGACGATAGAGCCGACGCAGAGCCGCGCCCAGCATTGAATGGTCAGGAGGTAACGGTACGCAGGAAACCCGGGGTGCCTTGCTTGCATAACCAGGTTGGAGGACTACTACAAGTCTCAGAGAAGAATTGGATCCCAGTGCCCCGGTTCATGGTGACAGGTCATCGGGTTCCTGACAGGGGGGATGACCTCACGTCTATTCCACCGACGGTCTCATGGTGTTTTGGGGTTCCCTTCAATTCCGAAGCGAAATGCACAACGCAATCAATCATGGCACTATGCCTGCTAATGCCTACCAAACACCTCAGCTTGCCATGTCCATGGGGAGGTATTTGGATCCACCTTGGGACGCCATGGACAAGTTAACAAGCTCTGTGACAGAGTTCATTGACTCGCTGTAGGCACGGCTCCATGATCAAGCCGGCTCGCAGACGTAAATCCCACAAGTCGTCACAATGCATCACTGTACCGAGTCTTTAGATGCTGCAAGTCAGAAAAGATCTAGACACACACGAGGCTTCAAGCCGCAGCTTTGTTCTTGTTTCCGACCCTATGCAAAAGCCGATACATATAGGGGTCCTAATAGTATTCCCTTAGGGTCCCTTAATAACACCCCCACAACCCTATTCTAATTATTAAGGCCCCTATATTAAGTGTTCACGTTGGCTTCGTAGAAGTTTCAACTGGCGCAGCTGCGCCACAGCGTGCGACCAAGTCGTTAGGGTTTAGGGTTTAGGGTTTAGGGTTTAGGGTTTAGGGTTTAGGGTTTAGGGTTTAGGGTTTAGGGTTTAGGGTTTAGGGTGCGATTTCCGACCCCAGCTCTCGGGAAGAGTTTCTAGACGGTGCCGCACAAAACGTGCGCGACCCGGATGCATCAAGTGCGGTTAGCATCAGCAGGACACCAAAAGAATACATCTGACATCTTAAGCTGTGTTTTTGTTGGTGTTAGACGTCTTCCAGTTCTGGGCGGAGGCTAGAGACAAATGGTTTAAATGTGTCAACAAATTGCCTCTAATCTCGCTATTGCTGCGTCGCCTTTTCCAATGCAGGGTATGAAGTAGACCAGGGTTAGCTGAGAGGCTGTTGATCTCAGAGTCTGCGGCTTGCTATCACGGCTTGAGGCTTCAGGATCTCGACTTCCAGGGTGTCGGTTTAGAAGGCCTCGTTTCTCCACCGAAGCGGAATGTTGGGAGGTGGGAGAAGCAAACTTTCACAAGTACACCGCATCTCATCCCGCAACATCCACCCTCCCTCTGCAACCTGCTACCACAAGACAAATTGTCAAAGTCACTACCCTCCAACAGATCACTTCCGTGCTGCTCACATGTCACTCACTGACCGATGCCAGCACCGAGCATTGACACTCCTGCCTTTTCCGGAGCATGTGGGCTCCAGCAAAGCATGTCGTGCAGCTTGCCCAAAGGCCTGAGCAAGAACTGCGACGGAGCTCATGTTATGCTTATCGGCTAGTGAGCCCGGCCCGGAAAAATCAACAAAAGGGGTTCATGAAATCAGCAGTTCACTCATCAATCTCCCTGAGCAAGCTCAAACTCCAACTTGCTTGCGCTCTCATCGCCTTGGGCTCGTCCACTGCGCCATGCCGACGTTTGTGCACCCAGCACATGGCTTTGTCATGTCAGTGAGAGTGTGAGTGAGAGAGTGGGAGAGTGAGAGCGAGAGAGAGAGAGAGGGAGACAGAGAGACAGCGAGAGAGCGAGAAAGAGAGATAGAGAGAGAGAGAGAGCGAGAGCGAGAGAGAGAGAGAGAGAGTGTGTGTGTGTGTGTGTGTTTAGGCTAGGCTCCGTTCGGTGCCATTTATTGTAGGAGTGACGCGCTCTCTTGGGGAGATGCTACTTTCTGTGCCGCTGTTTTTGCTTGCAGATCAGAGACCTTGTGAGTCCCGGCCCACAAGCCATGGCTGATCATGTTGTCCAAAGAGACTTCCTCTGGCTGCTGTCCTTTAAGGGTGGCACAGAATGTGAGAGGGGTCAGCTCCTGGGCCAGGATTTAATCAAGGACCTCGAGGCATCCAAAGGCATCTGCCAGCAACTTCGGACGCAGGCCGAAAGCATGAAGACGGACAAAATGACCAAGGTATTTCGATCCTTCATGGAAGAGATCAGTGACATGAGCAAGTCCGTCTCTAGCGCGCAGAGGGAGCTGCAGGAAATCTGCCAGAAGATGCGTTGGCCCTCAGGGACCACAAAGATTGCAGAGAATCTTGGCCACGCGATCCTTGAAACAGAGATCTTGCCCCGATTCCGGGAGTATCTGCAAGACTCGCGCAGCATGCCGATTCACAAGCACCAAATTGTCGTGAGCGCCCGATATCTCCCGCTCCTAGAGAAGCTCATGGCGGAGCGCCTGACCGGCGAGAGGCAACCCAAACTGAGCTCTCCAACCAGAGTTGAACTGTTCCTTGCCGCAAAACGTCTTGTTTCAAGGGCGGGGTATTCGGGCACACCATGGGTTGAAAGCTGTTACGATTCATGCGTAGCAACATCTGTGATCAAGGAGTTTGAGAACTTATGGCGTCAGGGTTTCTTGCAGCACCCAGTTGTTCAACTTTGGTGCCAAGCTTGCATGTCAGGCCGTCAGATGGCTTCCTCAGCAAAGAAGAAAGGGAAGACATCTTGAGCGATCTTGGATTAGGCTCGGTGCTGCTGACCTGTGAGGAGAAGGAGGCCAACAAGAAGCAGAAGAAGGAGAAGCGGGAGCAGGCGAAAGCTAACCAAATCCTGTCGGAAATCCGCAGAAGATCCCGCAGCAGTTTGACGAGGTTTCCATTCTCAGTCTTACGTCTCGAAAGACCAAGACGACAGGAATACTGGCAAAGCATACTTTCAAAGTCAATCTGGTAAAACTCCCCTCTCCAATGCGGCAGGATTCCGCAGAGATTGATGACGGCGCGAGCGATAGTTCACAGAGTGCATTCTTCAATTTGGTGGCAAGACGTTTGTGCGAGACGTTTGAAATCGAGATAAGTGGCGAAGCTCTTCGAGATTTGGTTTCCGAGATTCAGGATCAGATGTCTGGCATCGGGGATTTGAGCGATCTCTCGCATGAAGAACCTGAGGATCCGGCAGCACCTGATGTCGAGGATCTCGTCCATGAGTTGGGCAAAGCTAACATCGATATTGGAGACAAGCACAAGTTCGAAGCGTACTGGGTGAGCGCAGTTGCTGCCTTTGAGCAAGAGGTCGTGACCAAGTATCTTCTGTCGGAGGCAAGGACAATGACTGCAAAGTGGCCGGGCGACGAGATTCCTCGCGAAGCATTCGACGAGATTGAGCAGCAGCTGATGCAGTCGACGACACGTTGCTTCACCTTCAAAATCCTGTACAAGGTCTTCATTCACAGGGTCCAGCACTCCCACACAGTGTTCCGCCATGCCGCCAAAGGTTTGCTTAAACAGCTGAAGGTCGATGAGATTTTTAATACCGCTTCGCCCAAGAAGCAGCCACACACCGCCAATCTCGAGGAGCTGGTGATGCACCTGGCCGAGAGGGCTTGTTCAACCTTGAAAAAGTCCGCCTCTCATGATGCAAAGAAGCACTGGCAAGAAGCACGAGATGCACAGGCTGCGCGAGAGGCAGCAGTGCGGACATGTCGTGAGCCAGGGCTGCCCAGCGAGCGGGCGGCAAGGGTGAAGCAGAAAAAGTTCCGGTCCTCACGGGTCCGCATGAACACAGTTCAAACCTACGGGTCATGGATGCTTTCATCATCGAAGGATGCCGTGAAGCAAGCGAATACGGCCTCGTATCGCTTGACACACAGGGTCCAAGCCTAGCCTGCTTGAGATTCTCAGATGAACCACCGTGATAATTCGTCTGGATCTTGAAGATCCATCACAGCTGGAGGGAAGATCTCCGTTTTGTCCAATAACGCTGCAGCCTCAAGAAGATCTCCCTCAAGGGCAGCTGTGATTCTTGATTTCTTACACTTCTTGGTTCTGATTTGTATAGTCAAAAGGGCCGCTGCGCTTGTGGAGCCCTAACAAGTTTACTGGCCCCCCGGCTGCGCTGCAGACCGTGGTGCCAGATCATGTACAGTATGACCGGTACTCGTCAGCCGTGTGCTGCTGCCCGGCAGTGAAAAAAGCCTGAGACAGGTCCATGTGATGCAGCTCGGGGCAACAGCGGCAGTCTGTAGTTTGAGCAGGAATTGATGACACCCTCGCTGAAGTGCTTGCACATGATGTCCCGAGGATGCCGCAGTTGATGGAAGGAGACGTAGTGAAAAGAGTTTCGCCCGAAAGCAGTCAGAAGTCAGAAGAAGCCGCACAAGGTCACACGCGGCCGGCTGGCTTCCCTAGGCTCGTTCAGTTGAGGTTCAGGCCAGGAGCTCGGAGCAAGCTTTGGTTTCGCGCAGATGGTTCCCTGAAGGAAAGCATCTCAACAAGAGCTCTGAGGATTTGATCCTTATGTGAGACTGAGTTTTGCTTCTGATCCGTATTAGCATTATCATGTGACTTATAATCGTTATTGCAGGTTCAGGAGAAGGGATTGTTGCTTCTCGCGGAGAGCCGCACTCAAAGACGAGGTCAACCATCCAGCTGATTCGAAGGGGTTCGCACAGTCGAACCTTTCCCTGACATGCTCCTTGACGGCACGTCTCCTATCACTGCCGTTCTGACAAAGAAGCTACACCTACGTATTCTCATGCTTTGTCGTTTGTAGTTCCACCGGCCTTACAATGTTGCGCGTAGTTGCTCTTGTGTCATGGTTTGTCCAGATTTGAGTGTTTTCGTGGTGGTGCTGCCGTCTACGATGGCTACGATCCAGATGTTGTTCTCTCCCAAGATTCAGGGCAGTGGGTGATTACGGTGTTTCCCTCACTTCGTACGATCTACACAGCTAGGTCTTGGCACAAAACAAATCCTCAACCTCAAACCGAAAACCCGACATGAATCCCAAACCCTTAAGCCTGGGCCGTGCAGCTGGTCTGCTGTTGTGGAGACGTTGTGTGGTACGGTCTTAGGCTTTGGGAGCTTGCAGCAAGATGGGAGTATAAAATCAGGCAATGTAACGATGCAAAACATTGCGATCCTTTGCGCAAAGTACATCGGTGTCAGGCCCGGCGACGGTACATCCTTTGCTGAAAGGCCTTCGGGAACCGAAGCCTGAAAAACCCCCTACCAAAGTGCTCCACCTCAACAGCCCCCACATCCAAAAACCCGCAAACCTTAAGGAACTCGACATGCTAGTGATTAACTTCTATGTCTAAATAGCCTTCAAGCAAACGCCCTGAACGAACAATCAGAAGGCCGAACACGGCGCAACGCTAAAGCGCCCCGAAGTCCCCAGGTGCGTCTCCGAGCCGGCAGCGCGAGGCCAACAGGACGATGGGAGCGCTCGCCAAAATCTGAGTCCGAGTGCTCGGTCGGGGTTTGTTTAGGGTAAATCGGGGGTTTAGGCAAGTCGGAGTTCCAGTGTGGGTTTTTCGTTGTAGAGTTTTAGTAGCGTTTAGTACTTGCAGGGCCCGATAATAAGATTACATTTGAACCATAGAAGGGGGACCTTAAACATGCGCGGGTACAACTTTTGAATACTTTCGCAATATTGCATTTGGATGTACTATACAGAAAAGAGGATTTTAAAGGGGAAGAGGGGGGGAGGCTAAAAGCGCGCGAAAATTATATTCGTCTGATAGAATGATGTTTTTAAAGGAGAGGGGCGGGGAGTTTCGATAGCGCGGGATTGTGGAGGGTGCAGAGGGCGCGAGTGGGAGGGTGGAGGGCGTGCGAGTAGGCAACGGAAGGAAGAGAAGGATGGGATATGAATAGAAATGTAAATCTTTCGATGAAGATTTCAAAAAAGAACAACATTAAAAGAACTTAAGAAATTGTTGATTGAATTAATGTCCATGGAATTGGGAAGATCAAGATCTCGAAGGTGTTTAAGGAAATTTCGGTATCTCAAGATAATAGGGGATGTGTGAGTTTTACGATTTGATTGGCTAAGAAAAAAAATTGAATGAATTAAAATGACGATGGATTCAACATTAATATTGATGTTTCTAAATGTGTAACGAAATATTTCTTTATTGTTCTCATATA